TGAAATAAATAATTTTAATAATAATTAATAACCATCGTGGGACATACTCAATTAACTAGGCATTACAAATTATTCACGTAATTATACTGAGAAAAGCTATATTAGTCACATAGGGTTTTTTCCTCATGAGTAGCATACGTGTGTTGCATTGTATGTAGCACTGACTCTTTGCCGACCCGGGTATCGAACCCACTATCAAACGCCACTGATGAACGTACCGTGCGTCACAACATCATCACAAACGCAGCCATCAGAGCTGGAAGCAAATTCTGCCGTAAACCACACGTTTCCGGCAGAGGGCGCGATGGGCGCAACGCAAGCACCAATGCAGGCCAGTAGCCGCAACCGCACACGCTACTCACGAGAAAGAGTCCCTCTGTGACTCGAAAGTAGTAGAGCTTTTCTCAATATATTCACTTGAGTAACTTGCAAAATTATAGTGTTTATCTCAATAGCACTAGCTTATCTGTGGGTAGGTAGGTTCTCTTTCTTATTTATACATTTATCAATGTGCAATCAAAAAAAAATGTCGCTCGAAGGACTGACGGCGGATGGGCCAGGAAAGTCCTTGAGTGGAGACCACGGACCGGAAGACGAAGCGTGGGCAGGCCTCCCGCTAGGTGGTCCGACGACATCGCCAGAGTTGCGGGGAGCCAGTGAATGCGCATCTTCCGGCGGTTGATGATGATGATGATAATGAATCAAAAAAACGAAAATTGAAATTAACTCTTTACCCAAAAACAAACAATTATCAAAATCGTTTTTAAATAGCTACCTGTGCATACGGTCAAAACTTTAAGTACCTAACTCTCTCATCGTATCAGGTAGATGGCAACAGATCCAAGAATAGGGATGATTTAAAAATTGCGTCTCAAGTTATACCTTTTTGTGTGTCAGTCGTTTATAAAAAATGTGATAAAATGAGTGTTATACAACACTCATTTTATCTATCATTTATTACTTATTATAAAATTGTGAATCCCTTCGCCTATGATTTTCTTATCTGGGTCATAGTCCGATCATTTAGGTGGAAATATATAGGGATTGCCTGTAATAATGTTTATATTATTTTCGTTTAATCTTTTCTCAAGTGGACAGGATTATAAAAAAATGCCAAAATGTACCTAATCAAATTAAAGTAACGCTTGCGTTGTGTTTCGTCGTGTGAGTGAGGTGACCGGAGGCCCAATTACGCTCCCCTTCCTCAATCTCCCCAATCTCTGAATCCCCAACGATCCTCAAACTTCTAATCCTCAAAAGGCCGGTAATGCACTTGTAACGCCTTTGGTGTTCCAGGTGTCCATGGGCGACGCCGATTGCTTACCGTCAGGTAATCCGTCAGCTCGTTTACCGGCTTATGCCATAAAAAAAAACACTAAAATGTACCCATAAATTTAGAATGACTACACAAAATTGGACAAACCTTTTTTGTATTCAAAATTATGCTGGAAAGTCAGGGCAAGGCACCAGAGCATAGCTGGGGCGCGTCACTGGTTTTTCATTTGTTATATACAATCCTATTAATAAATAATAATATAAATATGAAAGTTCGTATGATTGTTTGTAACTCCTTCACGACAAAACGAGTAAAACGACCAGGTAGATAATGGACTGAAATAACACATAGGCCACTTTTCATCCCACGAGCGGGCGAAGCCGATAGCAGAAGCTAGTTTGCTATAATTGAAGTTTAATGACTTCTATACAATAATGGAGAATACAGAGCTTGTCCTAACATAATTATAAGTCTGTATATAAACAGGGTTGTTTATACATTTCCTTAGTTTACGCTCGATGTTCAGTGAAACAACAACTGGCTTTCGTGAAACCTTGTGTCGATATTTAAAGTTTTTTATTATCTATTTTCGTAATCGTGTGCAGTTTTATTGTTTGTGCTTGTCTGTGAAAGAGGTTTTCTGGAAAAAAGTCTTGTTGTTCTACCTACTGGATTTTTATGGATGGTTTACCAGGGATTTACTGAGATAGGTATGTATTTTAAAAGTATTTTTAAATTAGCAAATATTAGACTTTGAACTAGACTAAGAAAATTGAGTTGTTTTTTTTATTGATTTTTTTATGGCATAAGCCGTTAAACGAGCAGACGGATCATCTGATGGTAAGCAATCGGCGTCGCCCATGGACACCTGGAACACCAGAGACATTACAAGTGTGTTACCGGCCTTTTGGGGATTAGGAGTTTGAGGATTGTTGGGGATTCGGGGATTGGGGATATTGGGGAAGAGGGGAGAGTAGCTGAGCCTCCGGTAACCTCACTCAAACAAACGCAAGCGTTGCTTCACGTCGGTTTTCTGTGAGGCCGTGGTATCACTCCGGTCGAGCCGGCCCATTCGTGCCGAAGCATGGCTCTCCCACACTTGATTATATGAGTGTTAAGATTTATAATTTTGTATGAATGAATTTTTGGATAATTTACCAAAACCGGTCTATAGTAGGTCACAATTATTTAAAACTATAATTTTGAATTGACTTGTATGTATTTTAATACTTATTAATATCAGTAGACGGGTACTATGTTATGTCCACTGCTAAAAAGAGATTACCTTTTAATAAAAATGCGTCAGGACCCGAGCTGTTATAGAAGTGCTGATGAATAATTTTAAAATTAATTTGATAGATGTTGGTTTTGTTCAAAGTATATTATCAGAGCCTGTCTCGAGTGCAGCTATTTTACTTAACAAAACAGTACATAAGGTCTTTAAGTCGGAATAGCGTTTAATTCATGTATTAGTTTATGATGGGGCTGGCGTGGTCGTATTGTGATCAAAAGCCCCTAAATATATAGCAGATAATAAAATAAAAACTAAATTGGTATTCGATAATATCGCAGATGAGTTACTGAAACTTTTAAAGATACTGCTAACTGCAATTTTAGAATAGAAGTTCATAATTATCTGGTTCCATCTACAATTGGGAGCAAAAAAACGGCGCCATTGATGAAGAATACACCGTGAAACGTATTACGTTTTCAAATACAAATCATGGAAATACTTTATTTATTTTTATTTATTCATATTGCATAATATACATTATAATAGGAAGTATTACATTCAACTAATTCAGTACATACCCTGTTAGGGCGCAGCAATTTAAAACGTTACAATACTTAATGTCAGCTGAAATTTATAATTATTTCTTAGAGCTATAACTATACCTATATATTAACTATGCCATAGTTTTTTTAAATCTTTATTTAAGGGATTTAATCACATGGTGATAATATCACCCCGTGACTTACAATGAACATATCTTACACATAATACATACATGAAACACTAGATATAAATTTGTAGGCACTATTGGCATCGCACATGCCACCCGATGAGAAATACCTCTTCGAGAATTACATGGCGTGATTTTTTGATAATATAGGTACTATGAGTTCGTATGCAGTTTCGAAGTTTGCTTTTTGCAATGGTTCACCAGTTATTTCTGTTTTAAACAATCTGTGTTTCTCGACAAATATAGTTTAAGTGTCTTCAAGACCCGAGCGAACAGGTTGCTCATAGGTAGGCGTGCTCCATCTTCGGCTACATCATCGTGCACCACCAGGCGAGATGGTGACCAAACGTCAACCTATCCATTATAAAAAAAAATATTTGTAAAAACTATCGTATTATCAAGACAGAACCATTTTACTTCGAGACGAAAACGAAATAGATTCCACAATGTATGTTTCTTGTTTTCTACATTATTATTATTATTATTTACGACTTCCTCGTTGGCCGACTCATTCCCGGGTCGGGCATAGTATTACTGGGTTTTTAAAATATTCTCAGTAGTAACACGGAGTCTGGAATTGTGTCTGGTATATGGCAATAGGCTTACCCCCTATTACACGGGACTCATTACATAAATAGTGAAAAGTGGGTGTTACATTGTACAGTGGTATAATGTGTACGTTAGGTTAATACGTAACCTTAGGTTTTAACCTAACCAAAAAGGGTAGGCAACGTATTAACCTAGGTTAATACGTTGCCTACCCTTTCGGGGATAAGAGGCGTGATGTTATGTTATTATTATTTACCAACGTCTTCAACATCTTCATTTGTTGGATAGTGTACCTACATAACAAAACGTAATTAGGTAAGGCTTACTTTGTAAGTAAGTCCGCCAATTTCACTGTATGTGCAATAAAGTTTAATAAATAAATAAAATAAATAAATAAACCATTAAAATAAAATAGAGTTCTTACTTAAGTATTTATAATCATTTTGAATTCTAGCAAATAGTTAATAGATTAGTATCTGTATGATTTTATTAAGATATCTCCACAAATCCCACGCTCTTGCTTAAAATTAAAATTACGTATTGTTAATTTAGCAATTGTTAATTATTATATGAGAAAAAAATTGACATAATCGAGCTGTCACCGGTCACTCTATTATACACCTTATTTCCTATGTTTAGATACTAGATTTGTATTAACAAATTGTGTGGTATTTGCGTCACAAGTTAAAAAGAGTAGGTAAATAATATTTATATGATTATAATTATAATTAGGTGCCTATCTAGTTCCTAAATATTATTTTTTTGCCTACATAACTATGTATTTACTTATAAAACGTGGCCAATTACGACTAGGTAGGTACTTACTATTACAACGCGCTTGTGCAAAAACTACGTTCGATTTTCAAATTCTGTGCTATACCATGGAGTTTATAATGAAATGGTACCCGGTAAAAAACTTATAAATATAAAAAAAAACTGAAATTACTTTTAATAAATATTGTGGCCAGCACGTCAACCCATCCTTTGCTGTCTTTCTCTATTACATCTTTAACGTTATTGTATTGATATAAAGTTGAAAATCCAATGAATAAATTTGACAAGTTGATCTGCAGGCCACTGACCATACGTACCTATCTACATTTTATTATATCTACATGTAGGAACTATAAAGTAATTTTTCTTTACAGAAACATGGGTCAACAATGAAGTAAATCATATTTCCTATCCATACCTACATACATACAGAAACCATGGTGCTGACCAGAGCAGACGCCATCAATAAGAAGATCGCGAGTACAAGTATGTATTACTAATATAATAGGAATGATGCGGGTTTGAAAATTAAACTCTTGTCTGTCGATAACTACAATAGAAAAAAAATTGTGTCTCGCGTAGATCTACGCTCCAACATACCTGATGTTAAAAATGTATTTAGCCCGTCAGTTAAGTAATGAACAAATATAAGACACGTATTTTTTTTATATTTGTCGTATATGAAAACAATACTGAGACAAAACTAATCATAGCTTCAGCTAAAGCTAGCTATTTCTAAGTAGGTATAAATCGAATCTTCAAGTGACGTGACACGATATTTCAAATCAAATCGTTAAAAGTGTTTTTTTTCGTAAGAAAATAAAAAATATGTACCGAATGTAGGTACCTATAAATAATCAAACGGACGGAAATTTGATTAAAGTAAGAATTACACGTTTAGTAAAAATAAAAATCGTTTTTAATTCCTAAAAATAGTCCGAGCTGCGTATAATTTTAACAGAAAAATAAAACAAATAGCTTGCAGACGTAGTTAGGTAGATCCAGTTACTCAAAATTCATCTCGACTTTGTTGATGACGTGTGTCCATTGTTTTGTTTTCAAATAAATCCAAAAGTCCTCTAGAAAATACAGTCAAAACTTTTTGAATTTCAATTAGGTTTAAGCAAACATTTTTAAATTTATTTCAAATAAAAATACATCTTTTTGTATCAACTAAAAATCGCGGGTTACTCACGTCAATATACTGAGAAAAGCTCTACTAGTTTCGAACTACAGAGGGGTTCTTCCTCATGAGCAGCGTGCGCGGTCACGGCAATGTCGCGTAGCCTACGCATCGTGAGTCGTCGAGAGTAACCCGCGATTTTTAGTTAATTTAGTATGTCTCACGATAGTTATTATAAAAATATTTTTTTGTAAGATTATTACTGACATTTTTTATACAAAAAATCACAATTAGGTACAAAAACGTAGAATATAATGAATACAAATTGATTTGCATCACATCAATAACCTTTATGTGCACACTGCTGAGCACACGGAGAAGATTTAAACATTAATCACCATGCTTGCTCAAGGCGGTTTTATCAATTAACCAATAAATTGTATGTATTTTGTTGCAGATAAGATCCTCGCTACAATAACAACGGGCGTCGTATTCCTGCTGTTCCCCATAGTTATAAAAATAGTAGATCCTGTACCTTCAATTGTAAATTATGTGAGTTAAATCTTGTAATTCTTACCCAGCCTATTTTAGCTCTTCTCTTATATCTATTGATGTGTCGCGGAGAACCTAACGGGTTACCGGGGCTCCGGCTCGAAGTGCAGGAGTAGGAACGGGGTGGTTTTTAGTTAGTAAGAGTCTGACACTCCCTCTCACCTCACCTAGGCGGGAGAAGTAATACGATGATTTCCCCCTCTTAAAAAAAATCTATTGATGTAGGTAAGTTACATAATAATATATCCATATGGATTTTACAGCCGTATTATCAATCTTGTAGTATTAATTATTCTGGGTTTAATTGTAATGTTTCACTTAACAGCTTAAACATTATTTGTCACCTTTTGTTATGGAATAAATCGGTTAACGAGCAGACGGATCACCTGGTCGGTGCCGCCTATGGACACCCGAAACACAAGTGCGTTGCCGGCCTTTTGGGGATTAGGAATTTATGGATTATTGGGAATTCGGAGAATGGGAAGGGGGTAATTGGGACTCCAGTAACGTCTATAATATGACAAAACAACGCAAGGGTTGTTGTTTTTCACGTCGGTTATCTGTGACGCTGTCACTCCGGACGTGCCCATTCGTGCCGAAGCATAGCTCTCCCATATTTACCTACAAGAAAGCATGAACTGTTACGATTTTGACTACATCTCTCGTCTAAGTGGGCAGTAGAATACTAGCGTAAGGCCGTGTCTTGCGCATGCTGAACTGCTAGGCTATTCTGGAACCACAGAAATAGATAAATGTATGCTTACAACGTAACGTGGCGGCCCGCGATCAAGTATAGGTACTTCTATCTTTCGCATTGAAAGTTACAGAATAAACTTACTGGTCTCATTTCGGAGCAGACTTGGGACATGAACATGTATCCCTAAGTGCTTATAACAATGTGGGTGGCGACACATGTTACACGTCAAATGACAGGTCACGCACATAGACTATCGATGAAAACAAATCAACGGATGACGTCACAAAAATCCTACATCGCACATGTGAAGTTTACATGCCAATTAAGACGGATAGAAAATCCCAACGAACAACTGTTGGCTGGGCTTGCCCGGCTAGAGCGTGGCTCGTAGCGGGGCCAACCACTGGACTCAACAACGCATCGGGCCCCGCGGGGATCCCGACTAATCCCACCCCTCCCCTCCTGTAGCAGGCAGCGAAGGAATCCGCCGAGACAGGCATCGGCCTGGATCGTGCGTCCTCGCGCACCCAGCCGGAGACGTAGAGATGACCCGACGACAACTGTTATGCAGAAGTCCGCCAGGCACAATCACCTCGCCTGGTCGGAGGATCCTACTTTTCCGATCTTAGGGAACTTTACTCTCTGTTCCCTAAAATATGCACACGCACACCTAGTACTTATCACTTATAACATGTATAAACGTTTCTCTTTTTAGCGTGTAACAAAAACGTTCCTTCTTTCTTTCTTTGTCCCATGTCAATAGATATACTTTACCATTTCTCTCCAGTTACTTCGAGTAGCCAACGGCAGCATAGTATATGAGCTGGTGCAGGATGAGATGCCGGTAGCAGAGCTCTCCATCTACTTGTACAACTTCACCAATGCTGACAGGTTCCTCTCTGGAGAAGACGATAAACTCAAGGTTGAAGAGGTTGGACCGTTCGTGTACCAGTAAGTCATACATTAATGAAAAATTTTTGTTGTTACTGAGTTACTGACAAAGTTCTACTGCTGATACTAATGTCGGTCCCGAGATAAGCTCGTTGTTATAATAGATTTAGTTCTAATTTGTTGTTCATTTGCAGAGAATATCGCTGGTACGTGGATGTGGTGTTGAGTGAGGATGGCAAGGAGTTGGGAATGACCCCTAGAGTCAGAGTAGAGTTCGTCCGCGAGGCTTCCATAGCCCACCCCAAGGATGTCATGCTCACTGTACCTAATCTACCATTTCTAGTAAGTTCCTCTTTAAGAGATTTATTTAGTTTCTGGTCTTAGCAACAAGAATAGTGTTTTTAGTGAATCACACCCAGTATAAGTTATAAGTAGTACAAATTATATTCAATGGACTTCCATCCAATCGTTTCACCAGTATGGTTTAAACGCAGTCTATCTAATGACCTATTCCATTACACCAATCAGATCATCTCTTCAACCAGTTAGTAGTCATCAAAATCTATATTATTTTAATCTTACAGAGTGGAGCATCAGTTATTTCCAATTATCCAAGTTTCATCCGCACTGCCTTCAACATGGTGGTGGGTCCGTTGGGAGAGAAACCCTTTATGCAGTTGGACGGCGACAGTTATCTGAATGGTTTTGAAAGCCGGGTCCTACAGATCTGTAACAGTTTAGCTCCTGGATTGATGTATTTTGATGATTTTGGACTTCTTAAAAGGGTAAGAAAGTTTTGGGAGAAAACTGAATAATGACATATTAAGAAAAGAAAACAATTTTGAATGAAAGAGATTTCTTGATTTGATTTTTAAATGTTGGTAAAGGTGCGATAGACAATCCATAAATAAAAGTTCTAGCCACTCGTTTATCCTTAACTATGATAAGCATTTGCACAGTTATACACTTCTTAAAATATGAACAGGTTAATGTGTAAAAATGTTTTAGCTTTACGAAAATGAGTCAGAATACAGATTAGTGGTGGGAGCTACCAATGAGGATAGATTCAAGATCAAATCTGTGAAGAAGTTCAGACACATTGAGCTGGGGACCATCAAAGACGTTGATGTAAGGTACATAACATAGCGTTTATCTATCTAATACCTTTAACCGTATAATCTTGGAGAAGTGAATGTCTCGTAATTTTTTATTGGTGGGTTTGAATGGTCTCTTCAATAGAATTCATTCAAAACCATTATAATCGATTATTTCCCTGTCCCAAGTTATATAAAAGTATTGAACAATATCCATCGGAAACAGCTAGTATTTTATAGTTCCCAGTCTTAAAATATTTAAATAAAAGAAAAGTTACTAACTTTAGCATAACTCTATGAACAATAACAATCCTATCAATATCATATGTAGTACAATTTTCCACCATCACACTCCAAATCACCATCTAACACACGACCACATCTTGCAGTGAGCAAACATTTGAAAAGGACACGTACGAGGGAGCACTGTACCCACCCATGTTGACTCCAGATGTGCCCATCAACTGGTACCGGCTGGGCATCTGCAAGACCTTCAACCTTCAGTACTTGGAGACCAGGAACATGCACTATGGTGGCCAGGCCTTTATTTACACCATCAGTAATGAGACGTTCGGCGCCAATGTCAACCCCCTTAGCAAAAAACCTTATCCTAGAGGAGTTTTGGATATTTCTGAGTGTGCTTTTGGTATGTCGATGTTAAATGTGAACCAAAATTAAACCTAAATAATTGTTATAAAGATCTTACATGCTATTCTAACCACTAATATAACTACACAAAGTACTTGATGTTGTTACCTATATAATTAATATAATCTTATTTTCTCACTCTAACCCTACTGGGTCAGCCGACAGGGCATAATTGACTTAAAACTAAGGCCTCTTGACCATTTCAAGCGGCCGTTTCATTGTAATTTGACGACTGAGTAATCTCACGTCGTGGCAATGTCTATTAACCGCCAAGATCATGTGATTTGACACCGTTAGACTTCTTTCAGTGTGGTTTTAAGTTTTTTTTTCTATCGCGATGGAAATCTTCATGGAACTCGCACATCATAGGGACGACGGGAGGACGTGCCGGACTCTTACCGTCTAAAACCACCGCGGTGTTCCTCCACTGCCTGTGACCGTGACCCGGGTTGGCCTTACAGAATTACCACACGTAGTTTTGGGTTAGACATCAAGGACTTAATAGAATGAAGAGTGCATCTAGAATAGTAACAATTTATTTTCAAAATAATTTAAGTTCCTCCTTACTACAACTTATATTTAGATACTTACAAGATTAATTGGATCTTTTGATCTACATTATAATCATATCGAAAAACTTGTATCAACCGGTTGTACATTAATTATTCATGTTTGGTAGTATGCACTTGGGATATTGTTTCTGATGATTCCACTCAAAATAATGTGAATGCTGGTTTATGCCGCAATTTAAAGTATATCTGGGCGACCTTGTCTCGTGATATTGACTTTGATATTGGAATATTAATTAACTTCAAAGTATTAAAATGTGTCATAGTAATATAATAAGAATTAATTTAAGTGTTGAAGAGCCATGCTTCGGCACGCATGGGCCGGCTCGACCGGAGTGATACCACGACCTCACAGAAAACCAACGTGAAACAATGCTTACGTTGTGTTTTATCGTTTGACTGAGGTTACCGGAGGCCCAATTATTTGTATAATTTATTTATATGTATCTCGTACATCTATCGTCATATCTACTATTATAATATTAGACAAAATCTCCAACAATTCTATTTTCATCTAAGTTACATACAAGTTCTAAAACAATAATGTTTTATAGACTTGTAACTATATTTGAGATAAGTTTTCATTTTCCACAGGTCTACCATTTGTGATATCTAAATCACATTTCCTGGACAGTGACCCCAAGCTGTACGAACGGATTGAGGGAATCAAACCAAACAGAGATCTAGACGACACTACAATTATCATTGACAAAGTGAGTAGAATTGTAATATAAATCCTACATTATTTTCAAATTCTGTGAAACGTAAAGCGTTACTATTATAGCTAGCCATTGTATGATCATCAACATCATGATCAGCTTTTAATCTGCCACCTAAGGCAATCCGGCACGCAAAGCTTCCAACGGCTTTGTACAATTGTAATTTAAACTACACTTAAGAGCAAAGAAACGAACTCACTAGCGTTTTTCCTTTTTCATTTCTTGATAAATACATTTTTCATACAATGGTAGGGGAGCCCATGAACGGAGTCTGGTAGTTACTTGAGCGCGTCAGATTAACATGTGGGGAAAACATAGTGTCATATTTAATATACCCACCATATACCCGGTCGGGTAGAGGCTTAGAAGGTCCCCATTAAAAAATAAAAAATTAATGCAATGTCTAAATATAGTCAACTAGCTACTTCCGCGCGGTTTCACACGCTCTGCTCAGCTCCTATTGGTCGTAGCGTGATGTTTTATAGCCTATAGCCATCCTCGATAAATGCGCTATCCAACACAAAAAATAATTATTCAAATCAGACTTGTAGTTACGGAGATTAGCGCGTTCAAACAAACAAACAAAAAGCAAACTCTTCCGTTTTATATAATAGTATAATACCTCTAGTATAAGATTTCGTCAGATTAAGGGAAGAGATGTCGATAGCATGCTAAACGAAGTGCTGTAACTTTCGTGAGACATACTAAATAAATTATTGTGTTTTCGGCTTACTCACGTAATAATTTGACGAGGAACTCGACTAGTTTCAAGCCATGTTAGAGGCTCATATTCATGAGCAGCATTTCGCGACCCGCGACGCGGCGACTGTCGCCCTGCTACTTATATGTCTATTTTATTAGAGGTATAAAAAGTAATGATGACAAGAGTCAAGAGCAAATGCTAATACTAGTAGCTTATGGCTTAATAAATACAAACCTTGAGTAAATAAACTTAAAATAGAGAGGCGAGGACCCAGAGGTTGCGATAAACAAAAAAATCAGATAGTTATAAATTATATTGCTGTCAATAGGCCTTGTGAAACACCAACAGGTACAAGACAAAACAACAATAAACTATGAGGAATACATTTTAATAAAGATTTAAATACTTTTATAGTACCTGTACTATCAATAATAACAAAATAAAAATACATATTATATAGACAGTTACCAACAAGCTTTATTGAGGAACCTGTATTGCAGAACTTGTGTTCTGGTTCTCATTTCAGGTTTTCTAAGTAAACACTTATGCTTCTCTTAAAATAAATGTCTTTTGTCGGAATACTGAAACGCTACTCAATTTCAAGTCGTGCTTAAGTATAGTTCTATCTCTACAATTTCTTTGTAAAATGACAGAGATGGCATGATATTTGAGCACGACTTAAAATTGAGTAACGTTTCAGTATAAGTCAATAAATAATACAAAAAGATCTTAACACTTGAACTACCAAGTTTAACCCTTTGAGTACCGTCATTATAGACACAATTAAAGAACAATAGGTTGTGGTCACCGGTGTCCTCGCGGTGTTTGACAGTTAATGGAGAAAGTCAAACCTCTACTAGTGTCAGGCACATATGACTGACGTGATACTCATCGACACAACATCACACCTTTTATCCCCGAAGAAGTAGGCATGGTGTACATTACGGCACTTAATGCAACTGTATAATGTAACACACACTTTTCACTATTTATGTTAAGAGTGTAATAGGTAATAAGGGTTGAGCCTATGCCATATATATACCGGGCACAATTCCGGACTCCGTGCTATTACTGAGATTTTTTTAAATACCGACCCGGGAATCGAACCCGAGACCCCTTGCCCAGCAGTCGAACTTGCGACCACTCAACCAATGAAGCATACACGTGACGTGGTACTATACCTAAGAATAAAATTATGTTAAACCATCCCTTATTTGAAAATATTTGTTCTCTTCACAGAAGGTGGGCGTAATGTACAACACGAAGATGTCCATCCAGCTGACGTTGATGGTGGGTGACCTCGACTTCAACTGGCAGACCAGGATGCTGTCGCATGCCGTGGTGCCTGTCACCCGTATGGAAGTAGTAAGTTACAAGATACAACCACTCATGACTTTAATAGTCCAGACACACAAAGACCAACGCTATATCTGTTAATGGCTATAAAACATTATTTAATGTTCCTTTCCACTCAAAAACCTCAACCTTTAACATTGACAATTATGTGAAAGAACTGAATACTTAAGTTTAAAGACAAAATAAAGCGTGCCCATTCGCCTGTATGCACGTATGACATGTGAAAACCACAATAAAAATACATATTGACTGTGACTGTGACGACTGCACGATTTATGGGGTGGCTGGGCAACCGGCTGCCGTGCAACGTGTCGCGGGTTCGATTCCCGCACGGAACAACATTTTGTGTGATCCACAAATTGTTGTTTCGGTTCTGGGTGTCATGTGTATGTGAACTTGTATGTTTGTAAACGCACCCACGACACAGGAAATAATCCTAGAGTGAGGCAAAGTTATATACCTCTATAAAAAAAAATCACGAATATTTAACAAAAATTCAGTTTCACACAGCGACAAGTCTCAGTTTTTAGTTTATTTCTCGTTAACGGTCAAGTAAGCACATGATAGAAGCATAGCAAACAGATTTAAGATTTTGAATTTGGATATGTCCAAATACTCAAACTCCACTAAATTTTAGTTCGCGCTTAAGTATAGTTCTGTCTCTACAAATTCTTTGGAAAATTACAAAGACGGCTCGATATTTAAGTACAAATTAAAGTTGAGTAGCCTTTCAGTATTCGGGTGTTCAGTTATTAAGTTGAAGAACACTCTTTATATATGAGATTGAATGGGGTTTTTCTTCCATAAACTTCGTCATACACATATAGTGGCTACAATGTCAGTGTTTATTTATTTATTTAAATAGGTAACAATTGGGCTTATACAGTCGCCAATTATAGGTTAACCAACTTTACAATTAAGTGATAAATAAAAACTATACACACGAACGAGAAACTAAAAAAAAAGAAACTACTACTTACGAAATCAAAATTCTTATCTTAAAGGAACATATAGAGGTAATTAAAGACTTTAAAACAATGGTTATAACCAAATTAAACATTTGAAAAAAGAAAAAAATACATTTCGTAAAAATTTAAATGTTAAGGATATGAAAATTAAAAAAACAATGTATCTAAAGAAATGAGTTTTGGAAAATATGAGATATGGACACTTCCTACTAATACGTACTCATCAGTTTTTTAATATTATTTTTCTCAGTTTGTTATGGTTCCAAAATAACCCCGGAAATTGATCCCAAAACCTTGCTCTCTTTATTGTATTACCTGCATACGGCATTGAATGCAAATGTTGCCTTGAAAAATTATTGCTCATAAAGCCTTTAATAATTTATTTGTGGTTTTAATTCATTGCCTACAAACTTTCATCTTAATCTCTGCTAATTAATCTGCTGTCGGTCACCACAAACGGGCTGTCGGCCTGATAGTAAATTGACCGAAGCTGCAGCCTAAATAGTAAGTGTGGGAGAGCCATGCTTCAGCACGAATGGGCCGACTCAGCCGAAGCGATACCACGGCCGAGCAGAAAACCAATGTAAAACAACGCATGCGTTGCGTTTCGTCGTGTGAGTGAGGTTACCGGAGGCCCAATTCAATATTACCCAAAGATTCTTTACTTAATTATTTATTATCGACATCAGTCGGATACTTTGCCAAAATGGCCCTTGGCAGACGATTTATTATCGCAGTTAGAACACTGTTAGAGGAGGCTGGTTGTAGACTACCAGACAGAAAAAATTGTGTAAACTTAAACTATCAAAATTCTACAACAAATGTAGTTGGACAAATGTCGTTTGAAATAATTCGATAAATTAGTTTCAACTTCTTGATTAAATTCTCATGAGATGTTACAATTGCAAAAACATGTCAGTGGTCACTATCATGGTTGACTTCTAACGAGGTCATCACATCACAAGTAATGGGATTAAAGAATTATTATAATTGTTTTGATTTTAATTACAATCTCCAGGTAGCAACCAATTATCTACATGTTTATATATACCGATTATACTAAACAATACAATGTTATATAACACCTATACTATATATTGTTATTTATGTGTATATTGATAAACATACAGTGCATTTAATTTTTATTATATTACAGTTTTATTATTGCCTACTTGTTTACACACATGATTATTATTCAGATATAGACATGTATTATTATTCAAAATTATTGTAATAAAAAGTATTTTTAGTAAATTGACACTTAAACATATGATTAAATATGGATATTATACCATTGTCTAAGTTATAATTTGATGATTTTATTATACTGCTTAGCCACGTTATCATTGTCATTATTTTTAATTTTTTTTTTGTATTTTTTACTACATTTCGGAAATAAATCTGTAGTTTTTACGATTTTGCATACACGCCCTTTTAAAATATGATAATAATGACATTTTATTATGTGTTATCTATACTATATAACTATAAAGCTGAAGAGTAGGTTTTTTTGTTTGTTTGTTTGAACGCGCTAATCACCGAAACTACTGGTCCGATTTGAAAAAAATTTCGGTTTTGGATAGCCCACTTATCGAGGAAGGCTATATATAATGCTATAAAATATCACGCTACGATTAAAAGGCGCTGAGCAGAGCGAGTGAAACCGCGCGGAAGGAGCTAGTAAATAATATACTGAGTGTAAAAACTTCCTTCTAAACACGATGTTGCATGCTCTTGTACTATTACTCTGTCTGTCATATTTAGCTGAGAAATTGTAACATAATATGTCTGATGATGAACCTGCATTAATGTTTGCATGTCAAAATGGTAGAATGTACAAGAATACCTAATTAGTGTTTACCTTATCTGAGCAAATATGTATATAATTATTCTATTCTATTCTACCTCTGTTTAAGTTTAGTACGGAGTTGTAGTGGCCAGCCAGATGAACCTACCCCAATCTGTCAAAATTATTCATTGCATTTTCAACGTTATGTCAATACAATAAAGTTGAACAAATAACTGTCAAAAAGTAGAAGGATAAATTTGACCTGTGGGGATCGTACCTGCTGTCTAGTCTAGTCAGTAATACTTTATCAAATCGTTACTATCTTTCACGTGTCTTGTTCCAGAACCAGCCAAAGCTAACAGAATGGACGCTCAGCAAGTTGGTGCTGGTCTACCAGCTGGCTCCTTACATCGTGTTGGCTCTTCAGATACTATCAGCTCTGGTAGGCACACTCCTGGTCACGTATGCAGCGCGACTTCAGTACCTCAACTGGATGTCAAAAACCAGGACTATAGTATTCGAAACAGTTGATATCCAAGCGAAACTAAAAGCAGAACTTCCACTTATACCAAAATAAAAGACACGTTTGAAGGTGAATGTTTTAAATTGAATGCAAAATATGTTATAAAAAATCGAAGTGACTGACCTGGCTGAGGTAGGTAAATGACTTTAATTGTATGGGGAATTCAAACGAATTTTTCGAAAACATATTTGTAAATGACGTCGTCTTTTTTATCGGTTTCTTCCAAATTGTACATTAACTTTAATGGAAAATGATAAATGGTAAAAATTGTGTATTCATCTTATTTTAGACTGATTGGATTTCTTAAATAAGTGTTATTTATTTCATCAAAATATTCTGTGGTAGATCTAATAAAACGTTATTTCATGGAGTACCTCTACAAAGATAATAATCTATATAAATAAAAATTAATTTCTGTTCGTTAGTCTCGCTAAAACTCGATAACGACTGAACCGATTTGGCTGACTTTGGACTTGAAATATAAGTGAAATTCCAGGAATGGTTTAAAAGGTGCTAAAAATATTTTTAGGCGGTACGAAGTTTGCTGGGTCAGCTAGTTACATATAGTATTCTTATGATAATAAAACTCAATACTATTTACCTAATTATCTTTTTCTACCTTGGTCCTTTGACGCTTAATAATATTTATCATAATTTGATACACAAAGACTACTCCATACACCATGTGTCAAACTTCTCTGATAGACGCGACGTTAGTAAGCGCGACGCCATTTTGTAACTGCAACTGTCATTCCTATCTGTTTATTTAAATTAAAATAAAGTTATTTGAGGTATTCTGTTACTTACAAATAAGGTGTGGCAATTATGTAAATACTAGATTTAAGAATAAACCACTTGAAAAAATCAGACAATTTTTATTTTTTGTAAACTAGAAAATTTTCCAAGGTGAGTACCTACCTAGTTTTTTATAGATTACAACCAAAGCAAAATAAAAACTAGAAAGCAATGACTGGTTTAGATATTTTAATGTCTAAGTAAAATGATACCCAGCCAGATTCTATAATTCACAGCTGTTATGAAAATAAAGATATTATTAGCATTTTCGAGAATCGAGACTGCCTCGTTGGCCGAGGTCGCATGTGCGACTGCCGGGCAAGCAGTAAGTCTCGGGTTCGATTCCCAGGTCGGGCAAAGTAAAAAAATCTCAGTACTAGCACGGAGTCTGGAATTGTGCCCGGTATATAGCAATAGGCTCACCCCCTATTACATGGGACTCATAACATAAAAAGTGAAAAGTGGGTGTTACATTGTACAGTGGCAATGGTGTCTTGCACCTTGTTTTGCACCCTTGTGTACCCTTCAACGGCAAAGTCACACAACATTAACTATAATAATAAAGAAATAACTGCAAGGATCCTCTTTGGCTAGATTTTATTACATTTTAGACATGAACGAGCGGCTCCATCGAGACTTTGCTAGTTATTAACTTGTTACGTATATATTTTATTAAGATAAAAAATTATTTATGCAATGTTGGTTATTATCACGACACCTAGTTATCTTACAATCTAGTTGAATAATTATGAATTATATGACTGTCAAGTACATAATCCGTCAATTAATGATTGTTATCAGACCTCAACAAGTTGAATTTGAATCATCATTGTTCGACGTACAACTTAAGTGGTTTTAATTGACAACTATAGAACATAATAATAGTACCTACATAGTTGGTACTTGGTCTATGATAGGGAAATAAAGATCTATTTTATTATAATAATGAATTATTTACTGAATAAGTTTACAAAATTACAAATGGTACAAAAATACTAAATAGCACAATCTTATATCTTATACTTATACTTATTATATAAAGCAGAAAAGTTTGTTTGTTTGTTTGAACGCGCTAATCTCCGTAACTACAAGTTTGATTCGAATAATTCTTTTTGTGTTGGATAGCGCATTTATAGAAGATGGCTATAGGCTATAAAACATCACACTACGACCAATAGGAGCTGAGCAGAGCGTGTGAAACTGCGCGGAAGTAGCTAGTATAAAATACATTAAGAAATATCTAACCACGTAAGATTTTGTAGTAGAAAAATATTGCTAAACATTACATTTTGCTGTAAAAAAATAAGTACTGGCAAATTGATTCAAATTTTCTGCCTTCATTCACACATTAATTTTCAAAAAGCCATCGTAATACTCTATATTCCTAGATTCGGACTCAGTATCCGTACTCGATGAACTGTCCGCATCACTATAAGCTAACTCCAAGGAAATATCACAATTCTTTCCTTTGTTCTCTTTCTTCCATTTCTTTTCATCTCGTTCTATCATCTGTTTTATCTTGTATAATGGTGGGTGGTCGTGTCTCACTGGTTCGAAGTATGTCCTCGCTGGTACTATGATGGGCATTCTCGGGTACACAGGAATCGCTATTGGCATTATTGGAGCTGGTATCTGCGGTAGGGGTATCCTTGGTGTTTGACATCCCACGTCAGGCAGTTCTGCAGTTGGTGGTTTTAGAGTTGTGACCGGGTTCTCCGTTTGTATAGGTCCACTACTACAATTATTTGCTACTGGCTCTTTAGTCCTTAAAATGTTGACTATTGGTGCAACAGGCGCACTGTACTGAATACCTGGTTTTATGCTTGTGGGCTTCATAAACATAACGTTGAGGTCATTGTCCCTAGGATACATAGGCGTCTCAGTTCCATGATCAGTAGTTTCTAACAGACCGAACTCTTGAGGATGTTTCTCCCGCAAGTTCATGATTATCGTCTTCAGGTCGTTCGGCATACTCGCTGGTAACGATTTCAGAAAACCTTCGAAACTTAAGGCCATCACTTTTGACGTTATTGTTAGTTGGACAATAGTTCCAACAATCACAAATGTATGTGACATTTTTCTGAAAAATATAAACATGGAGGTGAATTTTTAAAAAAATAAAAAATAAATTAACTAAAAATCGGGTTTAGAGCGACATCGCCGCGACTGCGCACGCTGCTCATAAAGAAGAACCCCTCTGTGGTTCGAAACTAGTAGAGCTTTTCTCAGTATATTCAGGTGAGTAAACCGCGATTTTTAATTACTTTAGTATGTCTCACGATAGTTATTATAAAAAAATATACTTTATTATGTGATCCCTGAACAAAACATTATTTAAAAAAAGCAGTAAGTACATAGTAGTCTGAAAGAAGACAAGAAAGACCTTACCTTCGATTTTCAAATAAGGAAATTAAGTTACCTATGAGTGGTCGCCATAAGCTTCGAGCCGTAGTAATCCGAAAATACTGACTGCCATACAAACTAGATTAAACTTGGAAAATAAAAAGTGTTGCACAAACAGTAATTGTTCATTCATAAGAGGAAATAATGGAAGTATTGTTGCGTCAAACCCTCGTAACGTGAAATTACGACAGTAGTTTTTCATAAGGTTATATATTTTCAGATCTTAAATGCCTAAACATATACAAGTCCTTGGAAGTATGGACCAAATTAAACAGGAACATTTTTTTTAAGGGAGGAAAATCATCGAATGACTGCTCCCGCCTGGGTGAGGCGGGATGGAGTGTCAGACTCTTACTGACTAAAAACCACCTCGTTCCTTCTCCTGCACCACAAGCCGGAGCCCCGGTAACCCGTTAGGTTCGCCGCGGCCTGTTAGGTTAGAGGTCATTTCCTAACTTTTGGGGATGGTGGTCCGATTCGCAACGGTTCAAAAGTTATGATTGATTTCCGTTTTGTTCTTTGATTTCACATTACAGACTGTCGCGAGTATCAGTGTAATTCTTATTTTTAGACTTTGTAAAGGAGTGGACCTTTGTTATCATTTTACTTTTACTTAGTAATAATTATTTTGTAAACTACGTTTAAAAAACCGACTTCAATGCTCTTTTTGAAGTCAGTTGATTAATATAGTAAAACTTTCTCCTAAGTGTATCAAACACTGTTCTGAAAACCGCATCAAAATCGGTTCATCCATTCGCGCGATTGTCGCGCACAAACACACACATACATACAGATCAAACTGAGAACCTCCATCTTTTTTGAAGTCGGTTAAAAATGATCTTCCACCTAAACATATACTTATCTAATCATCTATTTTTCACACGAACTAATCCATAGAAAACGTAAACTGTTCATGATTACCTGATTATGTTTGTCACAATGTTAACTGAAAATCTCTAATTTTATTTTGTGGGATAAACCGGTAAATGATCTGACGAATGATGACGAATGATGACGAATGATGGTAAGCAATCGGCTTCACCCTGGCATCGGCATGGACACCTGGAACACTTTTTTTAAGGGGGAAAATCATCGAATGACTGCTCCCGCCTGGGTGAGGCGGGAGGGAGTGTCAGACTCTTACTTACTAAAAACCACCCCGTTCCTTCTCCTGCACGTCGAGCCGGAGCCCCGGTAACCCGTTAGGTTCTCCGCGACACACCTGGAACACTACAAGTGTTACAAGTGTGTTACCAGCCTTTTAGGGGTTAGGAATTTGAGGATTGTTGGGGATTCAGGGATTGAGAAGATTAGGGATTAGGTTAATTAGGCCTTCGATAACCTCACTCACACCAGGAAACACAACGCAAGCGTTGCCACGTCGGTTTTCTGTAAGGCCGTGGTATCACTTCGGTCGAGCCGGCCCACTGGTGGCGAAGCATGGCTCCCCCACACGTAAAATGTAATGAAGTAAACAGTGATATGTTTTTGTCCTCGTGGAAGTTACATTATTAGTAGGAATTATGATAAATTTAACAATAATGTGTGTATAATATTTTAATAAATTTTAAAAACCGAGTATCAAATCACCAGTTATTCTAACAATTAAAAAAAATACAACGCATTAATAATAATTCGTTTATTTAATGAGGTTTTTTAATCAAACAAGAATTTTAATATTATAATGTTTTTTTTTTAATTGAACCTCCACCACTACCATAGACATAATATATAATTAAATTAGGTACTCTCCCACACTAGGCAAAAACAATTTGCCATTCCTTTAACTTTTTTATGCAAAGTATCTTTATAAAAAAATTATGCTCATTAAATTAATACAGACGCAAAATTAACATAACATTACGCCTTTTATCCCTGAAGGGGTAGGCAGTGGTGCACCTTACAGCACTTAATGCCACTGTACAATGTAACACCCACTTTTCTTTATTTATGTTATGAGTCCCATGTAATAGGGGTGAGCCTATTGCCATATAACGGGCACAATTCCAGACTCCGTGCAACTACTAACAATTTTTTTAAAAAAACCCCGTATTACTTTAATCGATCCCGAGACCCATTCACCGGCAGTCGCATTTGCGATTGAGACCACTCGGCCAACGAGGCAGTCATAAGTGCGACTTAACATAGAGATTAATAGAATACTTAGTTAAAGGAATATCTATATATATTGATTAAAATTAACTTGAACACATTGAGAGAAGTTCGACTACTTTCAAGTCTCAAAAGGACCCTATACAAGAGCAGCGTATTCGGCGCGGCGACGTCACCCAGTCAACAGACTAGTAGATATGTTTCACGATAGCCATAACACAAAATAGGGATACATCTTCTAATCACTCAGAGACGTCTAATTTCACTTAGTTATTTAACCGACCTGAAGTTCTCACCGGACACAGTATTTTTTTTTTTTTGGGACAAGCCCGCCACAACCTCCCAAAACCGCTGCAACTCCTGTAAGCCAGGATCTACAGTAGATACTACCATGAAAACATCAGAACATTGAAGTCTGGCGCGTCCCAGGGACACGAGTAACTGTCTTGGTTCCCGCAACGAAATGAATCAGAAGATATTATAAGAGGAGAAGAAAAAACTATAGTTTCCACTTCTGCAGGAGACAGAATGACTGTCTCCTGCAGAAATTCAACGAGGGAACGAATTCAATTAAGCCTAAAGGCACAAAGAAGAGACTGTACAACTGGGTGAAGCCCAGTCGCCAAGCACCACGGAAATTTGATTAAAAAACTAAGTGGGTCCTATGTGTGAGCTGTTATACTTGCTTCCAATAATAGGTATGGCAAAAACGCCTTTCCGTGCGTTTAGGCGTTTTTGCCATACCGGACACAGTATAGATACAGTGTCACACATCATTTTGAATGTTTAAAATAAATCAATCATTCATGTTTAGTGAATCTACATTACAAGGTACACTACAGCCCATTGACAGCTGTTACAAAATAAACTAACAATGTTAAGAAAATTACTGAAATCACGAGAAAGTGACTAGTAACACAACTATATTAAACAATTTACATACATAACATAACATCACGCCTTTTATCCCCGAAGGGGTAGGCAGAGGTGTACATTATGACACTGTACAATGTAACACCCATTTTCCACTATTTATGTTATGAGTCCCATGTAATAGGGAGTGAGCCTATTGCCATATACCGGGCACATTTCCAGACTCCGTGCTACAGGGTTTTTTTTTAAACCAAGTAATACTTTGTCCGATCATTGAATCGAACCCGAGACCCCATGCAGTCACCGCACTTGCGACCACTCAGCCAACGAGGCAGTCAACCAAGTCAAAAACAAACAATTTATAGCTAGTTATCATAATACGTTTCGGTTTTACAGAGTACACAACGTGAATATATTGTCTGGTATCTCTTTTTGATATTTCCTAACCAGAAAATGATAATCCTGGTAAATGTAATCGTCTTTCCTTTTTCTCACAAAATTATTAGTTTGGAATGTGAATTAAAGGACGTGAGTGACCCAAGCACAATGTGCACAAAGTTCTTTTTTAATATAACTGGAAGATAAATGACGTCGTCTGAATAATATCACTTAATATAAGAAAATAATTATTAAACAGCTACAAGTGTTTTTTGTAAGAGATTTTTAATCATTTTAATACAAAATATAAATTATTATGATATAAAAACAATAAACGTATGTAATGAACTATTTGGTTATTTGGAATGACACAGACAGGTTGCTTATCTTCTTGTTCTCCGGTGGTCTGAACACCAGCTCCTTCTTGCCGTCCCCCAGCGAGTGCTGCATGCTGCCGTCCTGCAGCATCAGCTTCCGCCGTCGGTGGTTACTCCTCATGTAGGGCTGGGACTGGGACCTCACCACTACTCTCGGCTTGTTATCCGAGTCCTCGCCAGCTATCAGCTGCACATTTTGATATGAATCGTCATCGAGCAGTGCAGTCGCTTCATCGTTACTCAGTCGCCGTTTCATCTTGATTTCTCCGTCTCTCGACATATACGTCAGCACGGGTTTGACAAGTCTTTCATTATTTTGGATACCACCAAAACTTCGTCTATAAATATCATATTTGGACTTCTTTCGATTCTTGTCCTTACCTTTTTTGCGTCTCTTTCTGCGACGACTCTGATCGTCATCGCAAGAGTCAGAGTCTTCGCTCGAGACAGACGTACTGACGGTTTGAGAACACTCGGAAGAATCTTGACGTGGAGTGTTAAACTGGGGCGGGAATGGGACAATGACTACTGGTGGCGGAGCAGGCATGGGTATGGGCATCGGGAACGCGGGACCCGGCAGAGGATGAGGAGCTATTGGCGGTTGAGGTCTTGGGTTTTCTTGGCCGTTCTTACATCTACACTGGAGGTGGCAAGGCGAACAGTAGGAGAAGAATGACGGCGTACATGGATTACACGAGCATGGTGGACAAGGCGGACACTTCTTGTTGCCGTTATTTTTGTCTTTTGGCGGACAATTTGGTGGCATAAATCCTGGAATTGCAAACTGCACAAAATGTGGCACTGGCACCGGTATAGCGATGGGTAGTCCAACGCCGTCCGGCTCACTTTTACTGGTGGTAGTGGTGGTAGTAGTCGAGGCTTCAGTAGTAGTCTCGGGATATGGTATCGGTATACCGACGGGAACCGGCACAGCCACAGGCATGGGCGGAGGTGGCGGCGGTGGTCCAGGCATCATCATCGGCCCATACCCGAACGGCATCGGCATTGGCATCGGTGGCATCGGCATCGGCATCATTGGCATTTGTGAGTGTACCACACCCAAGAAGATAACAATTACTACTTTCCATTTTTGTAACGCATCCTGTAACAAAATCGAAGTTATTCCATTAATGTCATAAGTGTGTGTGTCACTTTTTGAAGTCAATGTGGTGAGCGACATTTTACCAAACGCACTTTAATAAAAAATAATGGTTTAAAAGTAACAAACGATTATAAAATTATTACAAAATATTAACTTACTGAAATCATAACTGCACCGAATCAAAATAGTGCGGTTTCAATGGCGTTCATGACAGCTGTGTACTTTTATACTTTTAGCGAATTTGTTTCATAATCATGGTGCATTGTGGTGCGAACGTATGTGAGTGCATGGCTGGACTTGTGTCGTAACGATTTTATGGCCACACTTTATGGCGTTAAGTAATCAGAACACAAACATAAACTTTGGCAAAATAATTCCACTTTTAGATTTTAGCTGAAAAACTTTAACGCTTGGTGATATTTATCTTTTTATCAGAAAGTCGAGCGAGGCAGTAATGTCTTAGTTATTTTCGTTGTTTATCCTAAACCTGAACTTATATCTACTTGTTTTTATTTTATCTAGTCCACCGTGCAATATAAATGACTTTATAAGTGCTTCTTGTTGAATCAATTGTTAAATGTAATTTTAAACTATTGTAGACCCTATTTATCGTTGGTGAAATATTCAAATATCGAAATATTCAAACTAAGAGAGTTTGGTGATTTATTGCTTTCACTGAGTATATCACGTGGACTCCTGTAATAACCGAATTTAGTACCGTATAATTTGATATTTAATGTTATTTATATCAATTTATGATCGATATATTGAAATAGTTAACGTGACTTTGAATGCACGTTTACAGAATAATAGAAAATGTGTGTTTAGAGATCATTATCGTACTGAATTTGATATTAAACATGCACTTAGATACTAAAAATGGTTTGTTTTAATTAAAGTATGATACAGACAAAACCACAGATCTGTTAGATGTTTCAGGTTGTCTTATTTATGGAGTTTATGGGACGTAATTCTAAATATGCATCTTTTTATCCTTTAAAAGCGTTGCCCCACATTAGGATTTTCTCCTGTGTCGTGGGTGTGTTTACAAACATATAATTTTACATTCATATGACCACAGACAATCTGTGGATTACACAAAGACTTGTTCCGTGCGGGAATCGAACTCGCTACACGTAGCGCGGCAGCCAGTTGCCCAGCCACCGCGCCAACCGTGCAGTCGATGTGTAGAACCTATGCTGTTTCTTTCTAAGACTTCTAAAGACCGGTTTCTTGCAAACTTTGCAGTAGGTAACATAGACTACTAATTATTATCTTACAAGTAAAATGTCGAAATTAACTCGAGAGGAAAATTAATTTTATACTTGGGTACACTGAGATTAATCAAACAAAGATTTTAGACAATTAGCTATAGGAACAGTTGCACAATTGGGTAGTCAAATTCTGTACTTTTTTTGAACCGTCAGAATGTTGTACTACTTGTCGTCACGATTTTTTAGCGTCAAACAGCACACTTATTTCTTATAAATTTGCTGGAGAAATACTAAAATTAAGTGCCGTAATATTATGCTCCTCTGCTTTCCCCTCCGGCTATAAAAGGCGTGATCATAGAGCAACACGGGCCACCGGCGGACCGGAGGGGAGTAGCCATACGCAGGCGTTCCCCTCTGTCAAAGTATAAGTCCAAATGGTCCTATGCGTACAATAAAACTAGTTGCAACTCAACTGCTCACCAGACTAAATCTAGTTGCGTTAGTGAATCGACGGCGTCGTAAAAATGTCGAATTGTTCTGTTTTTTGCTGCAAAAAAAGATCTGCCACGTCAAATTTACAAAAACATGGTGTTACCTTTCATATTAAGTAATTTTTAATCACATTATTGCTATTTACTTCTTATAAACTTAAAAAAACTACAATATTATCAATCGTCTTGTTTCGGATTTGTTTACCAACAAATCCGTGCGTCCTCATACAAAACGCGGATCGGTCGAGCGACAGATCCGAGTTTTTTTCCTAGAATTCGCTGTCGTCGAGCGATAGCGTTGTTGCCGGTTTGTTTGTAGATAGTTATCGATAAAAATGTAAAAGGTGAAGTCAAATGTGAGATTTTTTGGGATTAAGTTTTCTGATTTAAATAAAAAATACTGAGTGAGAACTTCAACTATATTTATTATTATTTTATTTATTTATTGCAGATTTCCTAAAGATCCAAATTTAAGAGATATATGTAAGACATTTTGTTATAACAGACCAACCTGGGTTTCCCACAAGAAATATTGCCATTTGCTCAAATCAAGATGAATTAGCAAGATTAATAATGCAAAAATATAATGATACAATAATTTCTAACTTATTGAAAAAAACAAACCCCCAAAAATGTATTCGTCATATTTATAGAAAATTAATCTATTTTAAAAACCAGTTATAGTTCCGTATCAGTATTTCATCACTGGTTTTTAAATGGGATTAGTAATTTATTTCAAAAAAATGATAATTTTATTTTTTATAATTATCTTGTCTGATTATTGTACTAGTAGGTAGTTAAGGGTATAATAATTAATTAGGTATAAAAAAGGCTATAATAATTAAAGTCAATAATAATATCTGTCTTTGAATAAATTTTTAAAGCTGATTTCCTTAACGGAGTTCTTGAATTTATCGATAATGCGTATCGATAATTGTTACAACTGTGGGTGTAAGTGTAGTTGCGTCATATTATTACACTATAACGACAGGGATTGTTTAAATGTGTGTGTGAAATTGTCAGTGTATTTTTCAATTGTCATAGTGTGAGTTTCGTAGTGACATAGAATGTTTTTGTGTGAGAATTTGAGAATGTGTGATTTCCCCCCGCAAAAAATGACAGACAGTTTTGTATCGGTTTACAACGCAATGGCTACTCCCCTCCGTGTTGCTCTATGGGCGTGATGATATATTAACGATTTAAAATTACTAAACAGAATATTAGATGTCAGTACTGAATGTCACTCAATTCAGCTACTTTCGACGAAATTGTACTAAGATCGTTCGTTGATTTAGTTTAAAATTGAAGAATATATTTTATTGTAACTATGGATGCTTAAAATGACGAGTAATTCTGATAGCGACACACCAGTGACTCTTGATAAAGCTAAAATAACCAAAGTAAGTATTACAACAGTATAAACCTGTGTGGGTAAAACAAACATACTCAATAAAGGATGTAAACTGGCGGAGAGAGAAATAAAGTATCCATAAACTTAATTAATAACGAATTGTTCACAATAATAATATATTTAAATGTTAATTATCAAAAAAAACTTTGCAAAATATAAAGATAACAAAAGATTGTTATTACGTTCTAACACCAAATTAAAATACGTTTTTAAACCAAAAAAAAACATATAGTTTTAAAAATACTTCTTGTTCCTAATACTTATTTTTTTTCCTATCAAAACCAGTTTAAATACGTTTTTTTTTTTTTTGTCAATAGGCGTTGACAATCCTAGACGTGCACTCATTATAAAAGTAGATGTTAACATTAAAATATGATTCTCTTAGTTGTACAAGGTACATAAGTTTAAGTGTGGGACAGCCTATGCTTCGGCACGAATGGGGTGATACTATATCTGACAATAAACCGGCGTGAAACAACGCTTGTGTTATTTCGCCGTGTGAGTGCGATTACCGAAGGCCCAATTGAGCCAACCCATTCCTAAAAAGAGGCTAGCAACGCACTTGTTACTCCTTTGGTATTGAAGATATTTATAGGCGACGCTGATTGTTTACAATCAAATTATCCGTCTACTTCTTCGCCACCCTATACTATAATAAAGTCGCGGAGAACCCAACGGGTTACCGGGGCTCCGGCTCGAAGTGCAGGAGTAGGAACGGGGTGGTTTTTAGTCAGTAAGAGTCTGACACTTCCTCCCGCCTCACCCGGGCGGGAGCAGTCATTCTATGATTTACCCCATTAAAAAAAATACTATAATAAAAGAGTGACGTTATTCATATAGTTATTAACTGCATGGTTGGCGCAGAGGCTAGCAATCTACTGTTATCCAATTTGCACTCGAAGTTCCTATAGTCCCAATAGCCCAATGTGAAAGATGTCTAGAAAGAGAGCAAATTATGATTGTCCTTGTTATTCTTAGCATGACGTCATTGACTACTGAATACTGTGGTTCTGATAGAAAGTAGTTGAAGATTTTTGTTTGTAGCCGAAGTTATGGTGTTGTCTCCTTTCGTATTGGTATTTTACCAGAGTGACATCACTGATGTCTTCTTTTCATACTCATGAGACTTATCAACATGTTTGCAAGGAGTTTTCTTTAACATTACCAAGGTGAGATCTCGGGTTTGATGTTTTCGATTTTCAGAATTAACAGGATAGAAAAGATCGTTCACACAAGTTCTGTTTAATTACATATTATGAATTATTTTTAATTGTAATGGTTAATTTCAGATTACAATTTGAGAACTCCTATGTTTTGATAAATATATTTACCTAAAGAAAGAAGAAGAAGAATTTAATTGTAAGCTCTTTCTCTGACAGCTCTGGGTGACAGACATTCGTTTTCATCATAACACAACATAACATAACATCACGCCTTTTATCCCCGAAAGGGTAGTCAGAGGTGCACATTATACCACTGTACAATGTAACACCCACTTTTCCCTATTTATGTTATGAGTCCCATGTAATAGGAAGTGAGACTATTGCCATATACCGAGCACAATTCCAGACTCCAACTCCGTGCTACTACTGAGAATTTTTAAAAACCCAGTAATACTTTGCCCGACCCGGGAATCGAACCCGAGACCCCCTGCCCGGCAGTCGCACTTGCAACCACTCGGCCAGCGAGGCAGTCGTTTTTATCAACCTGATCAATTAGGTAAGCTTTTTACTTCAGAGGAGGTAATTCACTTTCTTTTATTACATAAATAAAAATGAAATAAATACAATGCGACTATTCTTTTTTATTTGTACAATATAATACAAAAGGTATAAAATTAGTTATGTACACTACACATTTAAATATACAAAATTGGGTACACCATCTAGTCCACCAGGGCGTTCACCTTCTTAGGCCGATGTTTTTTTACTTTACTCATCCTCTGTGCATTTTTTTCTCCTGTCTCTGCGGACTCTTTACTTCTCTCTTCTATTTTCATCATATTTTCTGCTTTCCTGCGTAACTCTTTTACTTGCAACTGTGGTGGTTTAGCGACATTTTTAGGTTTCTCAATTCGTTCCCTTTCTATCGGTTTCCTTTCAACCTGTGGCCTTCCATCCCTTTCCCTCTCATCATGTCTCTCTTCAATCAAACTGATTTCACCTTTTGGTTTCAACCAGTCATTAGCTTCATTTTTAGATATTTGTTTTTCAAATATCACATATCCGTCTTTTGTGACGTATTGTAGAATGGGAGTGAGTAGGTTCTTTTTGCTTCTAGATTCCCTCCTCTTCGACCTGTGCCGATGCTCTGCTCTCCTTGTCATATGTCTCCGTGCAGACCTGCGCCCCTTCCAGAATCCATATTCACTGGAACTACCTGATGATATACCGTCAGATGCTGAAGAAGAATCATCACTAGAACTGTCGTCATCTGTGTCAGAATCGTGCTTCTTCTTATGTTTGTTTGGTTTCCGTTTTTTTTTACGATCATGACGTGAAGGTGGGCCTGGCTTTTTATATGAGTGGTCTGGAGAATAGAAGGGCATCACTATGACTGGCAGTTTGTGTGGAGCTCCTCCTACTATCGGCATTGGCATCGGCATGGGCATTCCTGGCATGGGCATTCCTGGCATTGGCCCAGGCATTGGCCCAGGCATTGGACCCGGCATTGGACCAGGCATTGGACTAGGCATTGGACCAGGCATCGGTGCGCCAGGTGGGCCCATAGGTCCTGGCATGGGCATTCCTGGAAAAGGTGGTATTGGAATTGGAATCGGAGGAGGATGCTTATCTGGAGGTAGACTATGAAAAAACGAATCAGGTATGGGAGGTAAGGTCGGAAATTGTGGGAGATCTGGAAATGCGCCGATGTTTGCGTTTCTGGGCAACCGGCAATGCATTGGGAGGCTCTGAGGGAAATATTGGGGACTAGTGGGACATGGAGGCAGACTAGGACCGTTCTCTGCGAATGTAGAAGACAAACTAACAAGCAGTAACCAGCGGTGAAGTGTTAGCTTCATGTTTACCTGGAACAATGAGTATACTTTGTAAATAATGTTATAAAATTAAGTTAAATAGTTTAACGAAATAGACAATTGATAAAACAGTTGCATGGCTTACCTTCGTCCATCGGTTGTAACCGCCGCGTCGAGAACTAAATCAGGTACACCAATGGAGCCCTAGAGGCTGAGCTGTGCCTTTTGTAAACCTCCAATGACCAGGTGTTTCGTGTAAAAACAATAGAACCGAGAACATATTGCGCGACAAACGTTATGCTTGCGTAATGACCTCACAATAGGTCTTACGGCTACACATTGACTTTCACAGCTCCTTTACCAAAAACATGATTATACAATTGGAATTTTCCTCTTTTACTTTTCAGAGAACCTGTACATCTAGCTATGGTTTTAAATACAAATAGAAACTAGGATCTGTATTTGGGTATACAATAGATAACCTTTTATCCAACTGAGTTAGGCTTACAGTAATTAACAGATAAATTACCATTCAAATTCGATGAGATGCCCTTGTCATCCAAACAAACAATTAACTTATCAAGGCCAGCAAGGTGAGGTCCCTGAGTATATAAAAAGTGTATAATGATAGTTACTTTCATAAGATATTTGTTATACTGAATCTGGTTGGAAACAGTAAAAAGCCTATAAAAAGGAAATAATTACGTAATTTGTTTAATAAACACATTTGACCTATTTTAATGGTGTTATCCATTAATTTTATCATCTCTTGCATTCGTTATTCAACCGTTTCCCTTATCTAACCCCTAAATAAGTTTCATTCACCGCTACCACGTATTTATGTAATGTTGTATATAAGTTTACACCGCAGCATTGTGCGGTAACGTTATGCCAGCACTATTTATTGCCGAAATTTCTGATATTCCTTACAATCGACCACCAAACCTGTAGCCTGTCGCTGCTTCGGAATAATGTAGAAAGGTCTCAAACGTTAAACAAAAAGTACTTCTATACAAGATAAGTCTAATGGTAACTAAGCATATGTGTTAGATGTGAATTAATTTAGTTTTTTAATTTTTCTTCTTATTTTAGAGTCACTATTAGTAGTTGACATTTTATAAATAGGTACCTATCAACCTACCTAAGAATTTATTTTGATGCATAACAGGAAAACGACTTCTTTTGTTCTTAGAAATCTATTAATCTTACAGTTTTATATAATTTTGTGTTTCCAGATGTTTCTCCACGTGGTTGCGCAATGGGTCTTCGTCCTGCTGATAGGAACTACCTCCTCTCAAGTTATGCCGCAAGCACCCTTCGCTTACCCGTACCAACAAGGGCAGCCGCCGATGCAGATGTTAAGCGCACCCAATGGTCAGCCACCAATGCAGATGGCTCACCCTGGCTCCATGCCGATGCCTAACGGCGCGCCCATGCAGATGCCCCTCATGATGCCTCACATGCCACGTCTACCTGGCATGCCCTCCGCCCCTATGCCATTCCCCATGCAGTTTCCTATCCATGGGGGCAGGCTGCCCATGGTTGTGGCACCACATCACTCAAAGAAGGCTGACAGACCTCGGAGGAAGAGCCACAAGAACAAACGCAAGCGCATCAGCATGGACTCCTCGTCCAGTGAAGGCTCGTGTTCACAAAGTGCGGAGTTTCGCTCCAGGAACAAACTGAGGACCTCAAAGAAGAAGAAGCATGAGGTGCTGACTCCTGTGGTGTCGTATGTCACGAAGGATGGTTATGTGGTCTACCAGAAGAAGATCAAGAAAGACAAGGCGAAAGACTGGCTGGAGATGACGAAGGGAGAACATGACAGTGAAGAGGATAAGATTAGGTTCAAACCCCGCGACCACGACCATTAATATTCTCGGCACTTTTTTATAGTTTTACAATTATAAAGATCTCGTTATGTATAATTTTATATCGCTTTGCTAAATGATAGAATACATGAAATAAAGCATGTTACAACTACTTACTTTATGTTTTTTTCCTTGCTTTATATTTGAGCTGCGTTAAATGAAAAATTAAATAGTTTTCAATTTCGACTAATAGGTAACAATACCATTTTAAATTACAAGTAACGCCATCTCTTGTCATCAAAAAGAATTATAGGTACACTATAAAAATATTAATTTTATACTAGTACAAGAAGCAAGCGATTCTTTTATTGCTTGAATATTATGATTTTACCAAAGTTGGCGTTTTGTGATATTGAAAAAATCTAGATCAAATCAGGCCGATAGAGCAATCTAGAGGTATAGTCTCGAGGTCGGTTTACTGAGAGGACCCGGTGCCTCCTTCAGGTGCGGATGGTGGCCATCGGGGAGGTTTTAGTGAGGCAAAAATCCCACACTATCTAGTCTTTTCCCCAAAAAGCTAGGCTTTTTGAAGGTTTCTCCCCGTCAACAAAAAAAGGCCCAGATTATAATTTTATAATAATTAGGTATTTTATCCATTAGGGAGTCCCTCCCTCTATACGAAACCACTTGTCTTTTTATCGGATTAAATAGTGGATCACCTAAATTATTAAAATTATAATATGTTCTAAAAAATTAATTATTTAAAGACATTTTAGATAGGTAGATTTTACATCCTGTATAGATCCCAAACACAGCCACTGAGCCACAAAACACTGTTTAGGCCTTTAGAGTAGTTGATTAAATTAGAGGATTAGTGAAGTATAAGGTAACCGAGATGATTTATAAGGTCTGTAGCATCAGCAATTGAGTATGTAGCTTATGCTCGGTTTATCTATTTTAGTAACACCGAGCCTCGGGCAACACCAGATGCAACGAGTCTTTACGGCAACTGAAACAGTACCCATATATCACAAAAATCTTCTGATATATTTATTGATGCACTCAGGTGCATATCAGTATTTCACTTTAAGCAGCTGCCAACTGCCCTTCACAACCATCAACTCTAAAGAAAATGATGATACTACAAACTAATCTCGAATGCCGGAGGGTCCTCGATGCAAGGCTAGGAGTTATTTTTGTAGTGTAGGTTCTAAATCAGGCCCTTTGCCATATTAAGATTCTGTCACCTGCAGTAATTCACCAAGGGAAATGGAAACTATCGTCTTTTTTTTCTCTTCTCTTCTTATCATGCATTTTGTTGCAGGAACCAAGACAGTTATTCATGTCCCTGAGACGCACACGACTTCAGTGTTCCGGTGTTTTCATGGTTGTATCTACTGCATGCAAGAGTTGTAGGGGTATTGGGAATTTGCAGCGGGTTGGTCTCATTAAAAAAATAAGATTCTCACATCAGTTGAATAGTCACGTATAGCACTGCGATGAACTTCCCGTGACTAAGTTATTAACGGCAATTTTAGAAATTTTCATCATTTCGAAATAATTCAAACAAACCTTAAATATTAGCAGTTTAACAAGTCAATCGCAGAATGAACCTTAGTAACACTCAACAGTTCCATATTTGAACAAATAATTAGAAGACATAACTACACTACTGACTAAGACTGCCTCGTTGGCCGAGTTGTCGCAAGTGCGACTGCCGGGCAAGGGGTCTCGGGTTCGATTCCCGGGTCGGGCAAAGTATTACTGGGTTTTTAAAAATCTCAGTAGTAGCACGGAGTCTGGAAATGTGCCCGGTATATGGCAATAGGCTCACCCCCTATTACATGGGACTCATAAAATAAATAGTGAAAAGTGGGTGTTACTTCTATGTGCACCTCTGCCTACCCCTTCGGGGATAAAAGGCGTTACGATATGTAACTACACTATAGAGAAGAACATATGAACATAAGTAGGTGTACGTCACTTGAGTCCAATATTCCAAATGGACCGTATGGTGAATATTTACGTGGTCTCCAGTTACATCATAATCTTGTGGGATCTTTCGACTTATTGATATAGGTAATCCGACACTCAGTAAAAATAGTTTTCTATATGGGATATGTTGCAGCTCACGGATCACCTGATGTTCAGTGAGCAGAGGGTTTAGTTTTCTGATTCAACCAATCATCGACGTAGGCTAAAGAGCGCCAAACGTTTTTTTTTTTTTTTGTTAATGCGTAAGCCGGTAAACGAGCAGACGGATCACCTGATAGTAAGCAATGCGCGCCGCCCATGGACACTCGAAACACCAGACGTTACAAGTACGTTACCGGCCTTTTGGGAATTTGAGGATTGTGGAATATTCGGGGATTCGGGAGACGGGGACTAGGGAGGGGGGTAATTGGACCACCGGTAACCTCACTGACACGACGAAACACAACGCAAGCGTTGATTCACGTCGACTTTCTGTGAGGCCGTGGTATCATTCCGGTCGAGCCGGCCCATTCATGCCGAAGCATGGCTCTCCCACACTTAAACGTGTTAACGTTTCGATCTCGTTAAACATATTAAACAAACTTCGACTAAGTCCTTAGAGTCTATGGACACTTGCTTGAAACAAGATTATACCTACAGGTGCGTTGCCAACCTTTTTGAAGACGGATAGGAGGGAATACAACTGAACTACGGCTCTATCTACCTTCAAAACTAGCAGGTGTTAAGTTACACATTACCCACTTGACGTAACCTCAGCCGAATAGAGTTGTACAGGAAACAATGAAAGCGTTTTATATAAAGACATGTAACAGCTCGGAATATGTTCAAACAATAACCAAAAGTAGGCTGCAGTGGACTTACTGAGGACACACGTGAGTTGGTTTACATTTATAATTAGATACATTTTAAAAGAAAGGAAGAAAAACCATTTATTTTGCTACGACACACAACAAGAATTTAGAAACACAAAAAAAAGCCTATGGTGCGTCGCAGCGCAAAAGGCTGGAGCTCAGCTTAATACCGTGGACCGAGCACAGAGGCTCGAGCCCACGGCGCTGATTTTCAGGGAGATCTATCTCGGATCTATATCGAGAATTAATCTATCTCTGTTACAAAGAGTTACATTTAACAAACATAATACCCATACATATTTTTATATGAAATAGGTAACCTGGCAAACGATCGAACAAGTAATAAGTATACATCTAATCTTCTTTTTTCAGAGCACAACAAGAAGACAACGATGGCAAATATAAAGGTAGGTACAGTTAATAACAACAACAATATTAGTCAGCCTCTGTCGTCAGTTGATAGACGTGAACCTTTCTATTTTCCTCGAATGACAAATAAAACCGCAACCAATTATAAATTCAATATTCATTTATTTTAATTACGGTGCGAGAATTGTTAAAATGTTAATCAATTAATAAGGTATATAACATGGCATCATTATTTATTATTATGAGATTATTTACCTCGTTTACCCAAAATAATATTCAAATAGTTTAATCAATTTTACTAAACTGGGAATAATAGCTATCACGTTTATTGCAGGCGCTTATAAAAATATTCATCATCCTCCCAATAATCATGATGTCGACTCTAAGGCTGTATAAGAACTGTGAGCGATGTGATATTCCTGCAGAAGTCATCAAGACTCAACCAAAACCTTACTGGCCGTGGTTACCAGGCTATAAGAGTGACCAGCCAGGATACGTGTGGCCGCTGTACTTTACTGGGTGACGAGACTATGGTTTAGATTAAGTTAATAACTTAAACGAATCGGGTTTTAAGTAATTATTTGGTTGCATTGTACATTTAAAAAATACGCAGCCCTTTATCTCTTTACCCAATTATTGTTTTCTACCATTTTTATTTATTTTTTTGCTGTTATTTTGCATTATAATTTGTAAGTGATTTCCTAGTATTACGTTTATACGACATGTTTTGTAATAAAAATACTTTTTGTATTACTTGTGTCATTTGAATTTAATTTTGTACATCCAATAAAACGTACCATACTGAAAGTTTTGAAATAATTGTCTATTCAATTCTTATTTCTATACATAAATAGGTAGGTACCTACTTACAAACCCCTAAAATTACATAATCAAACAGCTGCAGTTCACGTGCAGTATTTCAAAGTGTATACAACTGTTCATTTCAGTACAATAGTCAATTAAGTACCTTCCTTCATTACATAACATCTGACAAATGACTAAGTGTGGGAGAGTCATGAATGGGCCGGCCCAACCGGAATGATACCACGACCTTTTACAGAAAATCGGTGTTAAATAATGCTTGCGTTCTGTTTCAAGGATAGACCTATAATAAGGTTTCGAGTGAGCCATCAGTGTCGGTGTCATAAGTGGTTACCGTAGGTTCAATTCCTCGCCTCCCCAATCTCCCCGATCCCCAAATCCCAAATCCTCAAATTCATAACCCCCAAAAGTCCTGCAATGCATTTCTGACTCCTCTAGTGTTGTAGGTGTCCATGGGTGGCGCCGATTGTTGATGAAACATTTGCAATGCTAGAAATGTCTTTCTGAACAACACTTAAACAAAATATAAAAAAACATTAAAATGACCAGCGATGGCGCTATTTCAATAAATCTTTTAGATTTAAAAGAAATAAAAAAATACACTAAATCAACCACACAACACAAGATTAAAAAGTTGTGTAGGAATAATACGTTTTATTATTTATCTGTAACGATAAACAGCAGTCATTGAATTTTGACAAGATACTTCAACTAACTATTGAAATTTGACATAAGCGTTCTGTCAGTCGCGTGATAAGACGAGGTGAAGACGTGAGTGTGCGGTCGGTTCACGGTGTTTTTTATTGTTATACCGGTTATGTTTTTAACAAAATTGATGTCCAAACATGACATTTACTTTAAACTCCTTATCTAGGCAGTGTTGTGCAAATTCTGTAGGTGATTAAAGGTTGTTTAGTGGTGTGGTGTAGTGACTATGTGTCGATGAAGTAGGAATCTTGTTTGAATTGTGTTGTAAAGTTCCAATAATTTTACGAAAATGGATTCTACAACGGACAAGGATTGGAAGAAGAACCTGGGTTTCCCGATAAACTACAATTCTGCGAGCTCAGACGATGAATTGTGAGTGTTAATTTAATTATCAAGTTGTAGAGATATGCGCCGTATTTCTCCCGCCTCTCCGCTAATATCAGTTACTCCGCTAATATAACTTAGTGTTATCGAAAATATAATTCACAGATCTTTCAATAAACTTCCTAGTCCGCTTATCTCTTCAAGATGTGCACGATGAATACAAGAATCCCTGCTTTTTCATTATCAGTACAGCAGTTCTAATTATTATTAGTTCCTAAGAGTGAGACATGAATATTAATGTATGGAGTAGGCACGGCTTATCTGTTACAATTGGCTGTATGAGTGCTTCTTTTATCTATTAATCTCTATGTAATGTTCAACTGGAAACTGATTAGTTCACAACAGTTCTATTTAAAATGCGATGAGAGGTAATATTCAACTAAGAACAAATTATATAGCATAAGTACAATAATAGTACTACTCAAAGTTCAGTTGATCTATGGCCTAAGGATATTTACTGACCCAAAACGCAGTTCTCAAAGACAAAACCTCAAGCCTGCCAAGCCTGTATACAAATTGGTTGTATTAAAACACTTGTGCCTATACTAATGGCTCTGCATAATGATTCACTACCAATAAAGGGCAAGTCAAGGATTGCTTACTGAATTATAATATCTTTTGTTTTCCTTTTATTTCTTTGCATAGAGTTCTCGGATCACTTAGTAGTCACATATTTCCGTAGAATAAAAATTGTATCAAAATTTTTTTGCTGATTATTTTACAGATATGCTAAATTGATTCCTAAAACAAATATGATATGGTATTATGTTGACTGTTTTGATTGCATGCTCAATATTCAAAGTGAAATCTTATGATAAGACAGTTTTTAATCAACAGATGTGTGTGATAAGCTATTAAAGTAATACAGATAAGGAGTTCCACTACCTTAGCAAAGGATAATCAATTAATCAATAATAGTTAATCACTGACACAACAACTACCTCATCAAAAATAAGTAGGTACTTTACAAGTTCATTGAGATGAATGCTATGTTTAGTCCTTTTTGTAATATAAAATTTTGGTTGGCTCATTCTATCTATGATTTTCATTGTAGTGTGTGTGACACCTCGCTCTATAAGTAGGTAAGTAGTGTAAGCTAGTTATTAAGACACTTAATCAAAGTTATTAAAAAGAACAAGATATCCCTCAGTAATAAAGTGAATAATCCCACATTACACTAGCACTAGTAGGATTAATAGAAGTTCCTAAACAATATCTCGAGCCTGGTGATGGCACAGAGGGACCGCGTGCATAGGTGGACGAAATTATTTGCTGTGCCACCAGGCATGCGCACAAAGTGAGGTGCTGCAGCACCAAGGGCAAGAGCGATGGGTCGCTTGAACTCGATGATAGCTCAGCACCCAGAATTAGATATGTTTTTAAATATAAATCTCAGTAATATAAAAACTATCTAAGTGATTAATATTGTAATAGGTTTAAGTTTCTTTTTTGTATCCTAGATTGTAAGTATTTTGACTCTCTCTGTAAACTTTCATTTTATTGTAAATAAATGAATAAACCTCCCGACTCCATCCTCGGGAACACCAACCGCTCCAGCAGCTCCATGTCTGGCTGCATCGACATACTGGCAGGATTGCCATGCAATGTGGAGCAATTAGGCAGACATGTTATTTTAATGAATTACTTTAATTAAGTGTCTTAATCTGTCAAATACCAAGCGGTCACCGGTGACCGCGACCTATTGTTCTTTAATTGTGTCTATAAAACCGGTACTCGACGAGTTAATAGCTAATAACTAGCTTACACTTCTTATTTATAGGGCAAGGTGTCACACACTAAATCATTTCCATTAGCTAGCTAGTTATGGCTATTAGATTGTTGTTATAGAAATTTACAAATAAATAATAGGCAATAATGTAAACTTGTACTTACATTGCTTAATGATAAATGTCTAGATAAGGTTTAGTTGTGGTTGTGGTTTTTCCATTAATATTTTGTCCATTTACTTTTTTATTCTGAATATCTACCTATTACAAACTAAGATCTGCATAGTTGCAAATATAATGCTATTCCTAAGCTTTCAACTAAAAATATACCTAATTAAATAAATGAACTTTTTCGGTTACTTTATTAGTTAGTATACAATTTTTGAGTAGGTACTCTCAGAAATTAACTCGTCGAGTACCGTATTTATAGACACAATTAAAGAACAATAGGTTGCGGTCACCGGTAACCGCTTGGTGTTTGACAGTTTAAAACCAGTCAGTTGCAATACGTACATATAAATTCACACCATACTTGTACATAATTAAGAAAACAGCTGTAGATATATTCTTAGTATGCACATACTTGATGATTTCTTCATTTTTAAACCAAAGACAATGAATGCACATATCTCGTTTAATCCAATAATGAACTTGATCATAGATTAAAACATAATGGCAACTAGAAATGAGGCAACACTTGTAATTTATTACCTGATTGCTTTTAAATGGAGCCACTTAACATTTCACAGCCATTTCATGAACATTGATGCCTGCTAAACCGCAGATTAAGTTATCAGTTTGTCCAATCATTGTTATCATATTATGTTTAGTGTGGTATGTGATTCATCCGTAACCCGTTACGTTATATTAAATGAGAAAACAAACAAATGCATCTAGACGTGTGCCGTGTATTATAATCCGAGTATTTATTATTGTTGTATTTAAGTTGACAGTCTGTGGTCTAAAATGTTGTGAGTATAATTCGTTTTGTTATTTTCTTGCTATGGGTTTAATTTTTGCACATTCATTGTTGTTGTGTTTTGTTTAATTGTATATTTTATAGATTGAGTGTTTGTGCATGTATTTTATATTTTTGCCTAAATACATAAGTAGTATAGTAACCGTTTGTAAAATTTGTTAAGAGTTTTGATCAGCATAATTTTGTTTATTCGTGTGATCTTTAGCTAATGATATTTAATGTAATAGTTTGCAGAATTTTATCATAATATGCATATAATCATAACTTCCTAATCAAAAAGACTTGCCCATGTTCAGATAATGTTCTTCATATAGAATTAAATATCATGTTATTCTCATATTTTTGTCAAATAACTGATTATTATACCAAGTTTACTCTACAATCTAATTTGTATTAAAAGTGATAAGAATATCCTTTAACTGGTCTGCTATTGTTTCCACCATAACTTGCATGCTTTACATTTTATCTGCATAAAAATACTATAAATGTTGTTGTAGTTTTAAGGCAGGTAGTTATTTGATCACCAAGTTATAAAATGAATAGAGTTAAATAGTAGTGAAACCAGTGAAACAAGTGAATTTATTTCTGCAAATAGGCTACAAGGCAGCACTTTTACACGTCAATTTTATCAAGCGAACGATGAGGTCGACATTTCCTAACTGACTACTCTGAGAAGAAATACCGAAACAAACTCAGAGGTCTGTCTCTTGTACTTACCTACTTAATTAAATTAAAAAATCTAAATTAAAAATGGTACCTTCGTACCTAATGAGTTATTTAGTCAACACATTAATAAGGAATACATACCTAGTTTATTAAAAAATATGTATAATATGTACTGAACTAAGCACTAAGATTATGAATAATTTTATTTTACAAAGTATTGGTGCATGTAACTACCTACTTAGCTAATCAATCGGCCTTGAGATTTATTTACTTCATAAATGTATACAAATATTATGCTCCGAAATACTTAGGTAGATAAACTTAATGTGCTTTCCATGCTTTTTTATTTCCCGTGTCACTATCAGTAGTAATCACAATATAACTAAGTAGTGAAAGCTATGCTCGGTAAAACCTTATTTATTAGACATCATAAATTACTTATGTTATTTGCAGTCAATTTGTAGGTACGTACAACGTGGCTGGATTGTGTGATGTGGAACTTTTGGTTTGTGACTGATGCAATCACAATATTTATTATTTCAAAAGTCTAGTTTAGAAAATAAAACAAGGATGGGTGGGTACCTACCCATTTTGTTGCACACTGTGATGTCACACGACATTTCAAATCAATAGATCGTCGAAAGCATTTAATTTTTTGTGAGAAAAGAAAAAATACGTGTCTAATGTTTTAAAACAATCTACCAGGCGGACATTTAACTAAAATTTAGGAAACTAGTCTAGGTATTCTATGTGCTGAAAATTGCAATTTAAAATTGCTTATTTATTGAATTTACAAAGGATTGAAAACTCCTGCTCAGCAGTTGCAGTAGCACCACTTTAGCACTGAAATAATTTTACTTTGCGGAAAAAACAAAAAAGAACTTTGAAACCAGCTCTTTATTTTCCAAGTTTCACATTACACAACTTGATTTAAAAACCAACCCCAGTTAATTAAAAAATGAGCCTTCAATCTTAGGTTTCCAATAATGAACCGTGTTTCGAAGCCGGGGAAGACCCACAGGCCACAGACTACAGTTAATAAACTTCCGCCGACGCACGCGCCATTTTAATTTACTGTGACGACGAACAACCTTTGTGTTGAACTCGAGACGCGGTGGCGGTTGCGCTAGACATTTGGATTTTATTTTGACGTGATTATTATTACTACAAATATTGATGTATTTATTTAGCGTAGCGATCCAAGGTTATTCCAGACGGTTAGATACCTAACTATGCCTAGAACGGAATTTGGTACTATAATTCGGTAGTAGGTAACTTGGTTGCCGATTTTAATATTGATTAAGGTTCTTGAGTAGAGTATTTGATGATACATAAAGTACCTAACAGATTGGCTTAATATTCATTCATAAGTACCTATATAGAATAACTGTCTTAACCCGTCGAGCGCCCGCGTTCCTTATCCTTATGCATGCAAGATAATGCATTTATTTGGCCATTGGCACACGAAAACAAGGATCATTACAATAGAAATAAAACAAATAAGTATGGACAGTCAAAATAAAAACAAAACATTAATAATAGATTTTATAAAAGAGAAAGCAGCATGGAGCATTTTTTCTTATGATGCACCGGGTGCTCATAAGGACGCTCGAGGGGTTAACTATTCCTTGGAAGTACAGACGGACAATAAGATAACTTTTGAATGCCCCTAGTTACAAAACAAGTCGAAGTATCTGTCTACTTAATTAAAATATTGCGAAATTAACAGGTTTAACCTTATCTCCAATGGTAGCGCCTACAAATAGCCAAACTATAATTACCCAGATACACTATATTTGTCTCAATTCATAAGTAAAGACAGACAGCCGCCCACTTGTTTGTGACTATAACACTGACATTGGACGCCCTGGCGATTGTATTCAAACTTTTTTAATGTAGGTATTTTCGTCTATTAGAATTTAAATAAATGTAGGTAAATAACAACTCTATTGTTTTTGTAATAAGTTTGTAAATACCTAGTCTCTTCTACGTATCTTCTAAATAGTTTAAAGAATAGGTGCATCAAAATAATTTGTTTTTTATTGCTTGTTTACAGTACAGTTTTGCATAAGCAGTAGGTAACTATCTACGTTTTTATTATACTTTCTAAAGGTACCTAATCTATTAAGTGGTCGCCAGTGGTCACCGTGTCAATTTGCACAGCTAACCGCTCTAAAGTCAACATATTGATTGATTACTTATCGTAATGACGATTATTATCGATACAAAATACTTTTAATCGATTTAAAATCTAGCTAGTTTAATTACTTAACTTTCTGAGAATTTCAATAGCGTTGAAATTTTTGCATTTCCAACACGTTTTAGTTCTAAGTATTTTTTATTAAGCTATTTATTTAACTATGGCAACTACGTAGTAGCTATTCCGATGTATTATTGTTAATTGGTATTGCCATCGTCAGCTAGGTATTTTCGTAAATAAAATAAAACGGATCTTTCCAATATTGACTTGTCTCTGGCAAGTCTTTTCGTTTGTTTATTTCTATGAATAAATGGGGAAAATGTCAATAAAAACAACATTTTCCTTATTTGTTTATTAATTAGAGGAATGGTGAAGGCTTTTCATTCAGGGAAATCCTTGATAATGTGAAAACTTTGTACCTAAATCCATTCACTTATTTTTCCTATCCACAACTTTTGACACAAAGCCATGTATTTGTTCAACAATTTGGCTGAGTTTCTATGCACGCTACGCAGATCGGATTCCAACAAAATTGTGACTATTTTGATGCGAAGGTCGTTTATAATGAGCATTGGACAAAAAAACTATTGTGTGCACGTTGGCTAGTAAGTAAATGCTGTAATAGCGGCTTTTAACCATGCCGGTACTTTAGATAAAGATGGGGATTTTTCTGTAATTAAACGTATCTATGTAGGTAGATAGAAAATTCCTAAAGTGCGTAGGACAGGGCACCTAACCACCTATATGTTATGTAGGTACGAACCTAAGTACAAATGGAAAATTAAGAGAAAACGTCAACAGCTCGCTACGGGTGGTGCGTGGTGGGCCAGAACACACTTAACAGCAGCAGCACGGCTTTTTTTTGTTTTAGAAACAATACAATAAGGTATAATATATTCACGTTATGAAATATTATGTCATACGACATACGATTTAAAGTTCATATATAAATGACAATGACATTGCTGGGTTGGAGCCGTACTTGTTAGATTGCTTTACTCTGCATTACTGTACATGAAAAGGGTTACCACAATTTCCACATCTGGCTAGTGCCAGAGTACACTGCTAGTTGATGCCTTAGTCGACCCTTTCTTCAGCCATGGAGAAGCAATGGTGACAAATGCTCTTATTTAATTCTATCGCCACCACTTGGCTGGTTAGAAACTAATTAAAAAATAATAATTACCTACAACGATGCTTATTGCTCAGGTGTTGGTTGACCCTACACCTACCTACCTTTACTCATCGTTGCTGTTTGAACCTTTATGGCCGATTCGTTTAGTTAATTACGCACTTCAAATTAATTATTTGAATGATGGACCTGTCATGTGATAAGATCGGTGCTCCATTTTCCACGGTGTTAACTATATTAGAGAGGGAGGTATATCCAATAATTATTTTCATCAAGACTAACATAGTAACTAGTTAAACATAGTGGGCGGCGCTAATCGCTTACCATCAGGTGATCGGTCTGGTTTACCTCCTTTTCCAAAAAAAGTTACCTAATCGGTTTTCCGAGTCTGGGTGTGAAGTGCACTATTGCCTGTTAATTTTTTAGGTGTTTGTAAACGCATCCTTGTCACAAGAGATTTTGCCTGCGGGCGGCGAGCAGGAGGGGGGACCATAGGGCTGATGCCGATACGGAGCCGCGGAGGACTTAACGGGTTGCTCGAAGTGCAGGAGTAAGAGTGATGTTCGGGGTGGTTTTTAGTCAGTAAGGGTCTGACACTCCCTCCCGCCTCACAAAGGCGGGAGAAGTCATTCGATGATTTTCCCCCATTAAATAAAATATATCACAAGAGATTTTGTCTAGTGTATTTCTCGTGATGTCCGGAAATCCTAAAATGTTCAACATTAACAACGTGCAATTTGTCATATGCTCAGTAAAATGAGACGATATTGAAGATATTTGTTTATCAGTACATTATCCTCGTGCCTTCGCAATCTAGTCTGTATAAACAAAACGGTGCATCCGTCTGTCTTCCACGTAGCACCTGCCTACGCGTCGGTATTTGAGTTGTGCGCGCGCCGATCGACGGGGACGTGTGAAATAGAAAGTTTCGCACATGTTTTTGTGTTCTCGGAATAACCCGGTGTAGACAAACAAAAGTCTTTCTGATTAGATGTAGAGCTAGAGACCACCTCATAAGGACACTATAACTATACAATTGTTACTGGTGTACGTAATAACAGTCAAAATTCAAATCATTAAATTCTGTGAACTAGTAGATTAAAAAGACATTGAAATCGAAACAGTGTCTCCAGTTTTCCTTATAATATACCTGGTACTGTTGTTTAAAGAAGTTGATGATCTGGTTTAATATACCTACCCTAGCTGTAAACTTGTGATTCTTACCACAGGTGACCGGAAGGGTCGTAAGGTAACTGGGTAGTTGATACAACGAAATTAAAAAAACGAATTTCTTGAGATTTTCCTTAATCTATTAGGTTTTTTGTATTTGAGCTATCATGTTCTAAGTACTTGGGTAAGTCCTAATTCAACTGGATGGTAAATCGAGTCCTTGTGGATTGAAGTTGATAGGCATTGTTTATCTTACTTTCTTATTAACTGTTATAATTTTTATTAAGTAATATTATAAATGCGAAAGTTTGCGAGGAATTGTACCTATGTGTGTGTGTACACACACACACACACATAGGTACAATGTTTGTTTGTTTCTCTTTCACTTCAAAACGGTCAAAGCCAAAGAATTTATTTCAATTAAACTGTCAAACACCAAGCGGTCACCGGTGACCGCGACCTATTGTTCTTTAATTGTGTCTATAAAACCGGTACTCGACGAGTTAAACCATAATTTGGTACTACGTATAACAAAACATACATAAAACGTCAACAAATACCTCTACAAAATAAATAATACTCTCTCAGTTAGTCCGCCAGTGAAGCCAGGTGAAGCTAGGTACTCATTCCAAAATGTAGATAGTAGATTCGAATAGAGAAGAATGAGCAAGAAACTCCATTCGTTACTCTTTTAAAAAAAAGTATGCGTACGTCTAAAGGAATCAGGATGAAATTTGGAACAGGAGTAGGGATGGTCTGAAATAATACATAGGTCACTTTTTATCCCACGGGAACGCCGGCGAAGTAAATAATCCCGATTGGCATTCATGTCATGAATCACCACAGAAATACTATAAACAAAATGACCGATGTAATCATCAATTTTCAAAATGAGAAAGAAATATTCCACGCGAACGTACTTAGCTGGGTCATAAAAACTACGATACACCTAACTACTTTTACAGCATTCTAATTAACTAGTAATAAAGTAATAAACGCACACAAACAGTGTTATCGCATTGTCTGCTATCACTCCGAGTGATACTAGCGTGATAACTGATAAACAGCTGCAAGGTCACGTGTGAGGTTTTGACCTTAGCTTGGGTGAGGGTACTGAGGATTGAGGGACTTGCTCTGCTCTATACTTATTGTTTACTGTTCATTCAATGACCCCTGTGCATCCGAGAACTTGTGTGGTATGATTTAGTTAAGACGCTGCTACAGCAGCTACCACTAAACAAAAAAACTATCAGTATTTAGGTGGTGCATGAAGATAGTATATTCTCAATGTGGCGTGCTATTTGACAGTTCGATGTCCAGTAGGAACACAGTAGATACCTAATTACCATCCGATTGGACAACAGAAATAAACACATTGTGGAGACATTAATTTTGTAAGAATAGCATTTATCTGTGTTTCCGGACAAACAACTATAACTTATACTTAGTCTTCAAGTTCCGAGCGAACAGGTTGCTCATAGGTCGACGTGCTCCATCGTCGGCCACATCATCGCTTACCACCAGGCGAGATGATGCCCAAATGTCAACCTATAACCTAACGGGTAACCGGGGCTCCGGCTCGACGTGCAGGAGAAGGAACGGGGTGATTTTTAGTCAGTAAGAGTCTGACACTCCCTTGCGCCTCACCCAGGCGGCAACAGTCATTCGATGACTTTCCCCCCTTAAAAAAAAAATGTCAACCTATCAAGTATAAAAAAATAAGTCTATTGTAACTATGCAATATTTTCAATAGTTACTATCGACTAAATAAAAAAAACTAAACTAAAGAGTACTTAATATACATAGGTATAGTTATAACTCTAAGAAATAATTACAAATTTCAGCTGACATTAAATATTGTAACGTTTTAAATTGTTGCGCCCTAACAGGGTAATGTACTGAATTAGTTGTATGTAATACTTCTTATTATATGTACATTGTCCAATATGAATAAATAAATAAATGCCACTTTTGACTATCAGCATCACAGACTAACTTCTTTACAAAGAACTAGTTATTACTAAAGCAACGAACCATCCGATAATCTGTGCCCGTTTGCCCTTAACAATTTCATGGAAAACCTAACTAAACATATTTTTTCTTTTTTTCCAGTGACATCAAAGATGTGGTGTTCAGAAACCCTCGTCACTCCTCGAAGTACCTCCTGGCGGACAGCGGGGATGGCTCCGAAGCCGACCTGCTCGGCACCACGCCTCCTCGCTCCAGGATTAGGGATAAGGAGAGGGGAAGGAAGTAAGTTGCACTTTGTCAGCTTTATCTAAATTAATGCATTGTATGGGATCATTTTGAGATGATCTTTTTGTGACGGTTATTTTTTTTTGAGATAACTAAGTACCTAAGCGCTTTTTATGGTAAACTTTATTTAAATGAAGTCTGAGCATATTACTTCTAGAAAGGCAATTTTAAAACGTAAATGGGGTTCTCCAAATCCTAGATTAGCATGGAGAATAAGTTGAAATCTTTCTCAATCTTTGTATTTTGATTGGAGAACGTTTTGACATTGTCGAGATCAATTCCATACATTAACTTTTCTATTCTCTTTATTCATTCGTTCGACTAGCGTTTGAGTATTATTTGTCTAAAGGGGGCTAAGGGGGTACATAATCCCGAGCGTACGGCGCGTCGCGTTCCGCGCGCGCCTCAAAGAGCCATCAGACAACCACAGATGGGGCCCAACAGGGCCGATGCCGATTCGGAGTCGCGGAGAACCTAACGGGTAACCGGGGCTCTGGCTAACGTGCTGACGCTGATGTGCAGGAGAAGGAACGGGCTGGTTTTTAGTCAGTCAGAGTGTGACACTCCCTCTCGCCTCTCCCGGGCGGGAGAAGTCATTGGATGATTTTCCCCCCTCAAAAAAAGGGGGGTTACGTAATCATAGAGACGTCATTATCTATTGATAGATTTTTCATTACACCTAATTTTCCTACATACTAAGTACAGACCCTTACAATCGAGCAAATCCAAAAGGGATATCTTACTATTTACAGAATTCATATTTTATTTTATCACCGTATCGTATGATAGTAAGGAAAGATGCGGTCATTGACACTAACCACCTTGAGCATGTAACCAGTTATATGGAGTAAAAATAGTTCGTATAATACCTATAAGAACTTGCGCTTCGTCCATGACGGCGGTGTCGACCTGAATCCCAATCCTGTTTCCCTTTGGAGGTCACAATAAAAGTAGCCCTTGATTGTTGCTATGCACTTTTCGAAATTGGCAGTCGTGGCACCAATTTGAGATTCGTAATGTATTATTCAGAACATAATCGGCAAAATACCTATATGGAACTCTTTATTTTACTCGTTGAAAATATTGATTTTATAAAGTTTTTTTATAGGACAAAATGTACAAATACAATTACAATACTTTGGGTTATTATAGGTAGTGGTCTTTAAATCTAAAAGTCCCCACGCAGGGGATTTTTGCGTAACCAGGGCTAAGGTCATCGACCGGGACCGGGACTATCCTATTTAGATGATTACACTATTGTCGATAATGCCATGTTAGGTATTTATTCACGAATAGTACCTATAATATGTACCTATAGTACACTTCAATTAATTTTATTAATTTTACGGGGACTTCTGACGGGTGTGCCCCGGTCGACCCAGTTGCTATGGTCCTTGTGGGCGACAAATAATAATAACTAAGTTTAACAGATGTGCGACTTTATTTGAACACAAATTAATTATATTAGAAAATCGATTAAAGGTTTTGGACAAATTGAAATTAAAGTAGGTTGACCCATTAACCCGTAAGCTGTGGAGAATATTCTAAATGGTTTTTATAGAATGTACATACCTAATATACAAAACTTCACACTTGAAACACCTATCAGTTTATAGAATCAATATTGTGACGCATTTCTATTCTTAATTTACTTTAATCGAATTTGTATCTAATGTAGATTAAATGATAATTTTCTGTGTAGGTAGGTACTACGTATAGTACAGAAATTATGATTAATTTAAAGGTACAAAAAGGACTTACCTAAAAATCGCATTTCTAAAAAAAATGGACAGTCGCTTATGGCCTAATGATGTAAGTAAGTGGATTTCATGTGGAAGTCATTAGACGAAGCGTATATCTAGTAAATGGCGTCTTGTGGTTGATGAAGATGAAGTAGCTAATTGTAGTAACTGATTGCTAATTTTGGTCTTGAAATGTTCGTGGAAGTCCATGGAAGGTTTAAAACGTAAGAAAACTATTTAGGCAGTACGTAGTTTGCCGGGTCAGCTTGTCTTAACTAATAGCTTGTCCAAAAGTAAATGCATATACTTTATGAGTGAGGAACTTGCATAATATTATTTAATTGACATTCCAGCGTTTAATCTCAGCTTGATATAAAAATATCCGGGTTTGTAAAGATAAAACAGTATAAATAATGGAAAGCCTGTATAATAAGCAAGTTTATAGTTTCATTCAGATTGTAACAACGTCACACGCCGCCCATTTTGTTGGTTTACTAAACATTTATCGCAAATGTGTCTAAATTCATAGATATTGGGTATCGATTGTTCCTTGTGTTGATTGTGCGTATTTACATGATAACGTTTTGATAGGTGTCACTACGTATTTGTATATTATGTGCGAGAAAAAAAGAGCTAGTCTTTAGTAGGGCTGATGGCCCATACTGAGCCGGGGAAGGGTTGCTAGGACTCGAAGAGCAGGAGTAGGAACGGGGTGGCTTTAAATAGTCACTACGAGACTGATACTCCTTCTCGCCTAACTCAAGACGGGAGAAGTCATTGGATGATCCCCCCATAAAGTCTTTTTAATATCCAACTTTGGTCTGTTTTCACTACAATAAGATCGCATGCAGCATGCTAAAATTGTTAACAATACCTAATAACTACTTATTCTTCTTATTCCCGTTAAAAATCGAAATAAATTTGACGTCGTCGTATAGTTAGAATTATCGTTATCAAAAAACACAGACTTCAGGAAAAAAATCGCATTAACCCGTATATCGGTAATTCTAAAAATAATTATTTTTGCATTGGATAATCCATTTGTCGAGGAAGACTAGGCCTATAATGTAATATAATGTATAAACAAATCACGCTAAGATTAAAGGTCACCAAGCATCGACACCGTGCGAAAGTAGTTAGCTAGTAGAAAATACAGTTAGAGAGAAAGAAAGAAGAAAAAGAAATTGTTTATTTGCACTGTCATACAAAATAACAATAAGAAAAAAAATAGTTTCAAAAATAGTGAGGACGGCGCAAAAAGGCCGGAGCTCAGCTTAAATGCCGTGATCCGAGCGCAATAGCTCGAGCGGGCGGCGGTGATTTTCAGGACTAGCCTTATTCAGTACAATACGAATAACAAATAAAACATACAATACTTTTAAAGAACATCATGTTTTTGTAAAGAGGTCAAACATCGATGACTTCTTCCCCTTGTGAAGTGTCAGACTCTTACTGACTAAAAACCACCCCGTTCCTACTGCACTTCGAGCTGGAGCCCCGGTAACTTGTTTAGTTTTCCGCGGTTCCGTATTGGCATCAGCCCTATTGGGTCCGTGGTGGTCTGCTGGCTCTTTGAGCTCGCATAGAACATCTGCAATAACTATACATATAATATATAAAAAAGTGCAATGAAATAGGAAAAAGAAACAATTTAAAATAAGTCACTTTTGCACTCATGATAATTTTTATGTGAGAACGTCGAAGGAATCTGTTGTTTATATAATTATAACTACGTATGTTTATACAGAATATTGTAGGTATGGCGGAGTCGCAGAGATAAGTTCCGCCAACACCGCGGTAATTTATTATTACAATGAATTTAAGATACGATAGCGTTATCACCGCTACACTACGTATGCCAACTTACTTGGTTACACTGATACTGATAAATATACTCCATGTTGTTACTGACTTCGCTTGCCTTGGTAAGTACTGATGGTTCAATCTAATTTACTGCTTGCCTTTTGGTTATGGGTTTGGGAGAGAAAAATATAGTAAAGGAAAATATGTTCATGAATAGCTTACTCTAGCGTTAGCCTGTCATGATTTTGGAACCCGTGTGAGGCTTGAAACTAGTTGTGTAACCTCGTCGAACAGAACGGTACTTACATCTTTGGAACTTCTCCATAATAAATTCCAAAAAGATGCTTAATCTTTCTAAATGGAATAAGTGAACTTTCTTCTTTAAAGAGATATGACTAGTAAAGTCAAGAAGAAAACTAACTGTACTTGTAGGGGAGGCCCAATTATTTATTTATTTATTTATTTATAATCACAACAGTGTACACATTGAGTTTATAACCTTTCCCCACAAAACCGGTTTAGCGGTTTGACCGTCGGTGGTGAGCCGCATTGCTTTACATACACTTATATATTGTATAAACTACTAATAACATTATAACTACCTATTCAAGTATTTTACAGAAGTATTTCATTAACTTAATTTTAAACAGTCATATGTTATTTTCTTGTCTGATGTCGGCCGGCAAACTATTAAGGACATATGGTAGACGTTTCTTTAAAGTTCTGTCGCCAAAGTAATTATGAACCCTGGGAACGTTATATTTACCGGCGGACACAGGCCGTGTATTGTGTGTATTCGCTACAATAGATAGGTCATGCTCCCTCCTGCCGTGCTGATTTATGGTTAAAATATATCTCTGTTTTAAATGAACCGATAAGACGTTACAGATTTTAAATAATTTCCTGTAATGACCTTTGCAACTTAATTTAGTCTTTTTTGTAACTAGCAGTTTGAGGAATCTTATTTGTAGATACTCTAATTTGTTAATATGAGTTTTAAATGTCTTTTAAACTGCCTCGTTGGCCGAGTGATCGCAATTGCGACTGCCGGGCAAGGGGTCTCGGGTTCGATTCCCGGGTCGGGCAAAGTATTACTGGGTTTTTTAAAAATTCTCAGTTGTAGCACGGAGTCTGGAACTGTGCCCGGTATATGGCAATAGGCTCACCCCCTATTACATGGGACTCATAACATAAATAGTGAAAAGTGGGTGTTACATTGTACAGTGGTATAATGTGCACCTCTGCCTACCCCTTCGAGGATAAAAGGCGTGATGTTATGTATTATGTTAAATGTTAAGCCGTAGCTGTCTAGAGCATAAGCTATCACTGATTCAACTAAAGATAAATACAGGCATCTTAAAATATTTATAGGGACTTTGTAACTTAAATGATAAAACTTGCTAAGCAATATTCTTAATTTACTACAAATATAATCTACATGACAAGTCCACG